CAGTTCAACTATTTTATAGAATAAACAGGCTTTATGGGCTAACCTGGAAATCTAACTTCTTTAGATAACGTTGGAATCAGAACCAAAAGCCTTTCCCCCGTGGAAGCAAACAACCAAAAAGAGGACTTTGGGAAGCATTTGAAAACTTGGAACTGCTTGAAATCCCTTCCAGGAGTGCCCCTTACCTTCCTGCATGCTGACAACCTCCAGCCCCTGTCTCCCCGCTCGGCCTGGTACGCCAGGTCTGGGAACAGAGGCCAGGTCTCACTAGGCAACCTCTTCAAGGTAGCGCCTCTTACTTACTTGTGAATTGGTCCAGCAACAACCCTGCCTGAGCAACCACCAAGGGCAGGTGGATGTTGATATGAGCCACCCTGGCTGACCCTCCATACAACTTCCCAAGAAGGAAGAGAAGTGGGAAACCCTAGCTCCCAGATTCCCGCATTATGGAGGAGAGAGATGCTAAGGCAAAGAGGCTCTTGGTAAGACCACACTGCCATCTCCTGGCCAGGATGAGTATAGCAAGGCTCTGGCACCAGGCTGCAGGCCCCAACTGTACTGATCAGCTCCTAGGGACAGGCACGTCCTCCTGCCCTGGTGAAGGGATTAAAGCATGACTTGGAAGTTTGTTTAGTAGAGGACCTTTTCCAGTAGCTGACTACCCTTTGCCAAGAGCTCTTCGCCGTTCCTGTTTTTCCTTCCTCCTGGCTATTCCTGCATCTGCATTTCTCCCATGTACATATTTTCCGTTCACACCCTACACCTGGTTCTTCTCCTTCCTTGATCACAATTCCTTCAGCACTTCCTAGCTGCAATAGTCCTTGAATCCCTGAAAATTCCAAGTTCAAAAACAGAGCTCTTGACCTCATCTGACTGACAGACTCAGGACCCTTTCCCAGAGGGAGCAGCTGTGAGCAGCATCGGACTCCGAGCTCTGCCAGGTGAGGACGGCCCCTCCTCTTAAATCCTGTTGAGTTTCCTTCCACAGATCTGTTTCACCTGCGCCCTCCCTCCCTTTCCCGGTTGCAGGCCAAGGAAGTCATTACACGTTGCCTGAACTCGTGATTCTCCCTCCTCCCCAAGCCCTCCCCAAGAGGGTGGTTAGATGGGTGGCAGGTGCAGTTGGATGCCTTCTGATGTTCTGCAGCGCAGCCGAGTAACTGTGGTTGACAACAATTAATTGAATATTTCAAAATAGCTAGAAGAAAGGGTTGTGAATGCTCCCAATACAAAGAATGATGAATGCCTGAGGCGATGGATGCGCCAATTACCCGGATCTGATCATTACACATTATATACGTGTACTGAAATGTCAAACTGGGCCCCTCAGATGTGTGCAATTACCATGTTTCAATTAAAAATATATATTTTTTAAAATCCCACCACCCCCATTCTCTATTCTGCCTTCAGACTGACGATATTTTCAAAATAAAACCTGACCGTGTCACTGCAGAGTTTAGGAACCTCTGAGAGTTCTACGCTGTCCAAATGCTTTCACGTGAGCAGTAGCTCTGGTCCCTGCGGGATGTTAGAATCCCCCCGGGGAGCTCTGAAAAGCTCAGATGCACAGGACTCACCTGAGACCCACTGAAATGGAGTCTTTGGAGGGGAGTGAGTCTCTGTGCACATCAAAGCTCATGTGGACTCTGATGGGCAGTGCCAGCTGAGGGCCACCGTGATGGCATGGCAGGGAATCCTGGCCCACTCCTGTAGACTGGTTCCCAAGCTCTTCACATCTGCTAGGTGCCCTGGCACCCCAGGGTGTCTGTGTCCTCCCCTGGAAGATTCAGACCCATCCTTCCAGAACTAATGCTGACACATCACCGCAAAGATTTCTCCAGCACCCACGGTGGGACTGGTGGCTCTGCTCTGCTCACCATGGCCCTGGTGACTCATGGTCCCCATGCTGCTACCGTCCTAGTTTGTTGCCACACTGTCTTCCCACAGCCCTGCCAGCTGCTCTAGAGCAATGGTGGTTCTGCTCATCCTGTGTCCTGTACGGGGCGGGCCACACTCAGGGAACTCCGCCAAACGCTTGCATGACTCCTGTCCTGTCCCTACCCTGGCCTGGCCTGCGGTCCAACCCTTCCACGTGAGCTTCTGTGTGCTCTGGTTTGCACTAAGGGGTAGACATTGCTTCCCAGGAGCTTCACAGCCTTGATGGCTCAGATCCTGGCCCATATTCAGCCACCACAGCAGGCGCTTCAGGAGCTTGCCACAGCAAAAGAGGTCAGGCTCACGTGAGGGTCGGGGTGGAATGCCTCCCAGAGCCAGGTAAACACCTTTTGGAACGAGCTTCCCAGACTTCCTTCCCTGCCCCAGTGGAACTCTTGAAGGTCAGCTGAGTTCTCCACCCCACCCCTCCTTTGGGCCAGCATAGGTCCTACATGCAAAGGAATATGAACTAACTAACCCACTCCAGTTTCCTACAGGACCCCTGTGGCCCCTGGTGGAGAAAGCCTGGCTCAGTGAGCACGGGTGTGCACCCTGCAATCTACTGCCATCAGACCCCACCAGAGCAAAAAGACCTTCAGCAAAAAGATCCAGTTCAGGGCTACTCAGAGTGGTCACCGATCCAGCAGGAGCCCCCAACCCCCCACACCTACTGACTTACAACATCCGGGGACAGGGTGCAGCAGTCCGTGTTTTATGAGTGCTTAAGTTTAAGAAGCAGGTTAAAACTGAAGAGCAGGGCTGGGGATGTGGCTCAAGCGGTAGCGCGCTCGCCTGGCGTGCGTGCGGCCCGGGGTTCGATCCTCAGCACCTCATACAAACAAAGATGTCGTGTAAGCCGAAAACAAATAAACATATATTCTCTCTCTCTCTCTCTCTCTCTCTCTCTCTCTCTCTCTCTCTCTCTCTCTCTCTCTCTCTCTCTCTCTCTCTCCATCCCTGCTCTGAGCAGTGCCTGGATTGAAGCCATTCTGCTGTTTTAGGAGGCACTTCTTTGCTGGAACTCCTGGACCTACTGGGATGGGCCCAGGGCTTCTGAGTCACAGGGCTGAGTACCCTCATGCACAGGTGCAGAGCATAGCACAGAGGAATCCAGAGATGACTTGAAACTGGGAAGCTGTACAGAAGGACCTTTAAGACAAGCAAGGAAAAGAGCTCAGGTCCAAGGCCCAACAAAGCTGGGTCAAGGCATGTCTCTGCAAAAGTTCCCCCTCAGCACCCATCACAGCACCCTCCTCCACCCCGTCCCCACCTCCATCTCTCTTTTTTTAAATATATGACAGCAGAATGCATTACAATTCTTATTACACATATAGAGCACAATTTTTCATATCTCTGGTTGTATACAAAGTATATTCACACCAATTCATGTCTTCATACATGGACTTTGGATAATAATGTCCATCACATTCCACCATCATTTCTAACCCCATGCCACCTCCCTTCCCCTCCAACCCCTCTGCCCTATCTAAAGCTCGTCCATTCAGCCCATGTTCCTTCTCCCTATCCCACTGTGAATCAGCCTCCTTATATCAAAGAAAACATTCAGCATTTGTTTTTTGGGGATTGGCTAACTTCACTTAGCATTATCTTCTACAACTTCATCCATTTACCTGCAAATGCCATGGTTTTATTCTCTTTTATTGCTGAGTAATACTCCATTGTGTATATATGCCACTTTTTTATCCATTCATCTATTGAAGGGCACCTGGGTTGGTTGCACAGTTTAGCTATTGTGAATTGTGCTGCTATAAACATTGATGTGGCTGTGTCCCTGTAGTATGGTGTTTTTAAGTCCTTTGGTTATAGACAGAGAAGAGGGATAGCTGGGTCAAATGGTGGTTCCATTCCCCATTTTCCAAGAATTCTCCTTACTGCTTTCCATATTGGCTGCACAAATTTGCAGTCCCACCAGCAGTGTATGAGTGTGCCTTTTTCCCCACATCCTCACCAACACTTATTGTTGTTGTATGCATAATAGCTGCCATCCTGACTGGAGTGAGATGAAATCTTAGAGTGGTTTTAATTTGCATTTTTCTGATTGCTAGTGATGATGAACATTTTTTCATGGATTTGTTGATTGATTGTATATCATCTTCTCAGAAGTGACTGTTCAGGTCCTTGGCCCATTTGTTGATGGGTTATTTGGGTTTTTTGGTGCTTAGCTTTTTGAGTTCATCACCTCCATCTGTTACTCCTACTCTTTTTCTCCTGCAGCATTTATCACTCTTGAAATTAGATACTTATTCTTCATTGTCAGTCTCCACCACAAGACTATGAGCATAATTTATTTGCTATTTATTGCTGGTCTTGGCCTCTAGTATATAAGCACTAGAATATATAGAACAAAACATATAAGCAAATGTCTTGTTCACGCGACTAGGTCCAGTGCTTCGGAGGGAACCCGGTACATCACATGTCTGTTGAATGAATAGGTGAATGAATGAGTGAATGATGGCTTTGTGAGCACCAGGCCAGCATTGGGCTTGCTCACCCATTTCCCCCAGTGTCCAACAGGCTTCCTGGTACCAAGCCAGCGAACTCTTCATAGGTTCCTGAGTCAATGAACTGATCAGCCCCAACATGAAGATCATACCTCATGCAGACCACTCATTAGATCTAAGGTTACTATGGCATTGCTCAGTGTGTCCATCTGGGGAGCAAGTGGGACAGAAACAGGAAAACCACCAACTTGGAAGGTTGGCAAAGACAGTCTCAGGAATATGGTGTGACGTTCACCCAGAGGTCAACACCTGGAGAAGCCCAGGCAGTCACCTACACCTGCCCTGATGGGACACTGTAGCTTTTAGGACATACACTTCCTTCCCACTCATGTGCTTCTGCATTGCAAATGCCATCATTTGCCATCACACAGGAAGACAGCACAGCCAACCAAATTCCATCATAATGTGCCAATTGCGCCTTCACTTGCACTTAGGTTAAGTTTAGCATTCAAGTGCACTTATTCAGGGAAAAAAAAAAACACAAAGCAAAATTTATTTTTGATCAAGGGATTTATTTCTTCTTGAATAGGAATTTAAGTTACTTCAATGGCCATTGACTTAGCTACAGAAAACTTCCAGGATGATAGGAAACAAGCAAGAAGAATCTGACTCTGTCCAGTCAAGCAGTAAGCCTCATGGGGCTGGGGAACCTGGGAAAACCCAGGGTCCAGCAGGGACGGGAGCCGGGGAAGCAGCGAGGCTGAGGGCCACATGGGCACAAAGGGGAGTCCAGGAAGAGTCCTGGGTGGAACTAGTTATTAAGAGAGTCAAATCATTTAAAGTTGAAATGAGTGAGAATTTATTTACAACATATGCAGATCTATGCAAGTGATTATGCAAATGGATGGAAAGGGGGCAGTTAAAGATAGCAGTAAAATGGGAGCTTCCGTTTCCAGCAAGCCGGAGGAGCCCCGTCAGAGCTCAGCTAAATGTGAGTGCACTGGCCCTTCCCCTTCATGTGCCCCATAACACCAGCAGTATAAAGTGGGTAAGAGCTGCACTTTCTCTCAAAACCCAGGAAGAACAACAAATGCCGGGCTGCCTCAGCCCTGACCCCTGGGGAGTCGGAACCTCTCTGTGATGCTTTTTTCCAGAAAGATTTGTAGTAGCAGAGCTTTAAATATGTGTATATATACACACCCATTTCTAGAGATTCCCGATGGGTGAGATACTAGGTGATTCATCTTTTCACCCTAATGCAGTATATGTATTATCAAAGTGGGCTGAAGACCCGTGAGTTCCAGCACCCTTCCCCACTCACACATACTGTGCAACTACAATATTGAGGATTCTCGGGTCCCCTGGGGGTAGCTGGGAGAAAATGCAGGTGTCAGGGGTGGAACTGCTGTGATTTGAAGTGGGGGACCCATTTGTTCTGGGTTACCCATCAATCTCAGAAACTAGAGGCCCTGAGCAACCCTCAGACTTCCGTCCCCCGATCCCCACTAACCACCAGCCCAAGCCTACACAGCCCCAACCCCAGCTGGTGGCTTCCTGCGAGGACTGCTGCAACCGGCCATCAGAAGGCTCTCGTCTTTCCTCTCAGTGTCCGCTTCTTTCTGCCAGAGAAACGCCCTCTGCTGTAGCCATGGGGGCGGATTTTCAACTCCACGTAAGGAATGGAGAACTCGTGTCCTTTCCAGGGCTCCCAGTTCACCCCCTACGAAGAAGGCCAACATCAAGAAGAGGCATCCGGAAGGAGGGCAGGGGAGGGTACAGTACCAAGCAGTCCTCTGTATCCAGTGAAATTCCTCTCTCCCTCCCTCCTTCTCTCTCTCCAGGGGAGAGAGGAGACAAGGTGGCCCCTCTGATTCTGGGGAGGTGAGAGTCAGATCTGAAGGCACCCTCTGCTGGGCAGCTGGGGTTCGACAAACTGAGGGGACAGATTCCTGCAGCCTCTGTGCTGGGAGGATGGGATGTGAGTCCAGGATGTGGATGAGGCCAGAGGCCCCCAAAATAACACGGGGTCCACCTGGCCAGCAATGAGCAAATTAGCTTGGCCTCACTCTTTCCCCTTCCAAAAAAATTAAAGGCAAAAAATAAACATATTAATTGGCCAATTGTGTAAAATCATTTTCAATTTAGACTGTTTAGATATTAGCTCTGGGGTAACAAATAACCCGCTGAAAACTAAATTTCATTTTATGTCTTTTGACTGGTGAGCACAATAATATTTAATTCACTTAATAACCTTGCAACCTGGCCAATAAAGAGCCCAAGTGACCGATTTTATGTATTTTAATTTGTGAGGTAAATAATAAACAAGAAGCTAAATGCCTTGCAGACTGTGAAAAGCACATTAACCAGATGAATGTCTTTTATTAGCAAATATGGGGATGGTTTAGGGCATGCTGGCTGCTCGGTTCAAATATCTGATCTCTGATGGCAAGTTTCTCTGAGTCAGCCCACATGCTGCCACCATGATTGATGGGCCCACCCTCCTTGGCTTCCCTGGGGGGCAAATTTATTCTTCCCTTTGAAAAACTACATAAGGATTGGGAGTCTCCTCAGCCTAGTTAGGATCAAAGGGATAAAAATGTACCTGGACTTTAGATGTAGTAATATTGGAATGGAGTGAGTTCTGGGGAAAGGTGGCTTCCTGAAGGGCAGGATCAGGACCTGGGATGTGTTACGATCTTTACATGAGGAATATTCAGAGGTAAATGATTAGACTATGAGAGCTGTAACCTGGTCAGTCCATCCTAGTTTGAGTGGACCAACTGGGTGATAACTGCAGACAGGTGGGGTATGACTGAAGGAGGAGGGTCACTGGGGTCGTGCCCTGGAAGGGCTCATCTTCCCTATGGCCCTTTCCCCTCTGTCTCTTGCTGCTTCCTGGCCCCCAGGAGCAGAGCAGAGCTCCTCCACTACACCCTCTGCCATGGTGTTCTGCCCCGCCTGGGGCCCAGAGCCACGCAGTTGGCCCATCATGGACTGAACCTCTGAAACCCTGAGCCAAGATAAACTTTTTCTCCTCTAAGTTGTCCTTGTCAGGTACTTTGGTCACAGCTATAAAAAGCTGGCTAACCCAGATGGGAAACTGGAAGCCCAGGATGGAACTCCGAGGGCTTGTGGGGAGGACTGATGATGACTAGGAGGAAAGGTGCGATTTTCCAAAAGCTGGGAGAGCCCACAGGAGACACCCAGTAGCTGACAGAATCCAGATGATACTCAAGAGTCTGGAGGTTTGAGAAGTGGTTACTAGGAAACCCTCAGAGCAAGGAGGGGAGAGGTGCCCTCCTGGACTCTCAGCCCTGCGTACACTCTTACTGCAGAGACCCCTCTAGCACAACGCTCTGGGAGGACATGGGGTGGGCTTTGGGTGAAGTAGATCCAAGGATAAGTCCGACCTGAGGCAGAAGAGACTACCTTCCTGGTGATCAGGGACTTGAGAGAAATGGCTCTGATCCCATGAGAACAACTAGGAAGGACCATGAAGTGTCAGGTGTGGAAAACGTTCTTCTCTCCCCAGCATCCACAGGTGGAAGCCCTAACCCCCAGTGTGATGGTATCAGGAGGTAGGCCTTTAGGAGGTCATTAGTTTAGATGAGATCATGAAGGTACTGTCCTATGATGAGATTAATGCCCTTATGAGAAGAGGAAGAGGCAATAAAATCTCTCTCTCTCTCTCTCTCTCTCTCTTACTCCCCACCCCCACCCCCTGCTCTCTTGCTCTCTCTACAGCCAGGAAGCAAGGCCCCACCAAGAGCTGGACCTGTGGCACCCTGATCTTAGATTTCCCAACCTCTACGAGAAATAAATGTCTATTGCTCAAGCCACCCTTCAGTGGCATTCTGTTAGAGCAGCCTAAGCTGACTGGGACAACGTGTGTGTGAACTGGTAAGGTGAAATGGTGGTGACCCATGTCATCTAGCTTTATACGGCAGTGGGCAGTTGGAGTTTCCCACCCACCTACCACCAAGGAAGTGTAAAGCCCTGGAATGCAGAGGGCAGGGGACGTCAAGGGACGTGACGTCAAGGCCTGAAGCCTAGAGGAGAAGCTTTTCTGTCCTGACTGGAAGTCTTGGAGAGAGAGGAGCCCCCAGACCAGGGAGCAGGGTGCCCTTTGGGGAGCCAATGTGGGCAGAGCTGGAACAGAGAGATGTTTGCCTCTCACATACCTCACTGTGCTTGGTCTCCCCGTATTTGCCATTGGGATTGGCCAAGTGGCAGTTCTTGTACCACCATCCACCATGATGGGTCAGGGCACAGTTGCTGAGGGCGATATCATTGTCCCTGTCAAAAGTTGTAAATTTCCATCCATTGTGGTAAGTAAGAGCGTCCCCTGCAGGAGAGAAGAGCAGGGAGGCAGAGCCATAAGGGGATAATCAAGGCATTCCCAGGAAAGTGCCCATGGACCCAGTCACTTATATGTCACGATGGTCACCAGTCTCTGAAAACAGCCATCATGGGAGCAGAACATGAGTGAACAGGTCCTCTTTCCTGGCCTGTCGCCCCAATTCCAGGCTTGTTTCTCCAACAGCCTCAACATTTTCACATGGAAGCTGCACGGTTACATCAAATGTCCAGCCACCCCTCACACGAGACGACCACTCTGTCCTTTCATCTCTGCTGTGCTGAACCCCTGCACCATGTCCAACAAGCCCCTCATGCCCCTGACCACCCTTTCTCCTCAGCTCCTCGCACCCCCCTCCCCTGTTGCTGCCACCCCAGGCCTCTCCTCATCTTCTCTCTGGCTTCTCGTCCGCCAGCCCCCCCGGAAGCCCAAACACCCATTTTCACTCTCTCCAACCTAACATCCTGATCCTACCACAGGGAGGTGACTTACTCCTCCAAGTGACAGTCTTGTCACTTGGCTGTCCCCTAGACACAATCTCAGATTCCACTGTCCCCACCAGGCACTCTCCACTTATAAATCAAGCCAGTCCACCTTTCATGGCAAGTCTGCCCTTCATTGGTCAAAACCTAACCTCCCGTAAAGCCTAGTAACGCCACTGCTAGGGAAGAGCCTCACTGATCCCCCTGATGTACGCACACACCCCTGAACCTGGCGCCCGTCATGTGTACAGTTCCGCACTTCTTTACATCCCATCTGAGCCCTGCCTCTATGATCTTAGCTGTCTTTCCCTATGGCACTTGTCATCTTTATAAGTTCACTTCTTTCTCAGCTCATAAAAGGCAACGGAGTCCCATATCACACTCAAGCTTCGTCAAGTTCTGTTCCAGCAACAACGATGCCTACAATTGCATCGAATCTGAGTTCATGGAGCAGCTTCACACACATGTTCCCGTTTAACTCTCAGGGGCCTGCAAGGTGGGCAGGGCAGCTCTTGGTCCCGTGAGGAAATAAACTCACAGCGGTTAGACTCTAGGGAATTTTAAAGTCCCACAGTCCACAAATGGCAGAGCTGGGACCCAACCCCACTTCCTCAGATTCTAAGACCAGTGTTCTTTCTGAGAGACCAGTTCACGATGACTCCTTGATTCCAAGACAGGGCTTCGAATGCTCTAGCAAGAGCAAGCTGTCTCTGAAAGCCCTACAGGCTTCACCCAGCCCTAAAGAACCAGAAACTGATTATGGGGTGGGCCCCTGCCATCTGTGCTTCAACTAGCCCTTAGATGTTTCTGATGCAGACTACAGTTTCCTGCATTCACCTACCTAGTCAAGGACATTTACTGGACACCTGCTATGGATTAGCACCATACCAGGCTCTGGGAATATAAAAAATGAGGAAGTCCTTGTTCAAAAAGCTTAGCTGGGGTGAGTGTTTATAAAGAATTGGTAGGGCCTGGGGGTTCAGCTTGGTGATGGAGCACGTGTTTAACAAGCATCAGGTCCTGGGTTCCAAAAAAAAAAAAAAAGTTGGTAACACTTTGTGCAAAGGGAAGGTCCTGGTTTCCCCTCCACCTCTGTGAGCTGAACAGCCACTCTTTTATGCCTCACCCAGCCAAGGCAGGAGGAGCAAGTGGCCAGAGAGGCCACTCCACTTCAACCCAGCAAAATGGCTCTGCCCCCATCAGTCTCCAATCAAAGAAAGGCACTTCCCCCTCCCTCCAAGGTTCTCCCAGGTAGTTTACTACAGCTGGAAATAACACGCGAGCCCCTCAGCAACATTCTTTTAGTGAGCATAGCTGACCTAAGTTGCGTGAACGTTCCCAGAGCTGTTTTCTAAGAATTCAGGCAGAAGCTTTCTTAAAGATATGTTCATGGTTATCTAACCCTGGGCACTGGGACGAAGAAAGGTGAAGCTGGTTTCAGTCTGAGTGTGGAAGGATTTTTTTTTTAACTTTTTTGTGGTTGTTTTCTGCAGATGAATGTTTTCTGAGGCCATCCTACCATTCAGAGTGTAGATAGTGAGTATACTCACAAAACAGAAAATAACTTGCTCTGGTCATCTGGTCCCATTAAGAATCTTATGTCCCTGAGTGACATCAAGTCATCAAGCCAGTGGGGCTCAGACGCCCTCCCTCCTTCCCACTGAGGTTGAGGATGAAACACTGATGAGGGACAAAGGCCCACCTCAGAACAACGGGACTTGGGGTCAGTGCAGGTCCATAAAAGGTCTGAACCCAAGTTCAAGGTGGGGCCACTGCTATGGTCATCATTCACCTCATCAAAATGTCACCCTGGGACACATTCCCCTCCTCCAGCACTTCAGGGGACAAGAAAGTTGACCCAGGAATCTACCATCTCAGACCAGGAGAATCCATTAGCCTCCTGTCCCCTGCCTTGCGTTTGGACCTGGAAAGTCTCCTGTCCTGGGATGTGCGGTAGGCGAAGAGAAGAGGTGCCGTTTCAAGCTTTCCCTTTTGTCCATGTATCCATTAATGTTTTTCCTCTTCCTCAAGTACTAGCTTTTGAAAATCTGCTTCAAAACAAGGAAGCCACTGTCATTCGTAGAAAAAAAAAATCCTCATCATCATTATGTAGCATCCCTGGCCCCAACCTACCAAGCGGGAGGCAGAGATCCCAGGTCATGGCTCCAAGTGCCCTGGGGGTGGACACATCCCCTGAGCACCTGAGCACAATGGAGCCCCATGCAGGTGGGATGTGAAATCGGCTGTCAGTAATTGGGTGGCCCACAGATATCATTCGGCACCATTTTTCACATTTTTATATTTCCATTATCATCTCTAAGAGGATGAACAGCATCTTGAAGGGAGAGCTCACCTTGTAGCCTCTCCACCCCACTCCAATCCTTAGAAACAAAATTTGCACCCTATCGCCTGGCTGGAGTTCCCTTCATGAAGGAATAATTGACTTTCCAATGGGACTTCCGTAAAGTCAAAAATTAGGACCCACCTGGGCAGTCTAAGGCGGGGAATAGCCTTAAACCACACATTTTCTCCGGGGTGGCACAGAGCTCACCTCTAATTAGAGCTTTTATGATATCCGAGCTTTTTAGAAGCTGGGAGAACAAGCAGGGCAGGGAGATCTCAAAATGTTCACCTTCCACTTGAACACCTGTCCTCAAATGGTGATCATTAGGATGTGAGTGGCCAGAAGCTTCCTAAGTTTTAATGCCCTTCTCCTGGACCAATCAGCATATGTAAGGAAAACCAGAGCCCCATCAACCCACCTGCAGCTCTGGGTTTAAGACTAGATGGCTGTCTAAGTGCCATGTGATCTGAAGTCCCCAAGGCTTCCTATTAAAAAGCACGTCCTCCGCTGACTGGCACTGTGGCCTGAACAACCTGAGGGCAGGAATTACCCCAGAACCCATGCAAGTAGAGGACCTGCAAGGGGAACCAGGTTAACTCCAGAATGTGGCAACTTCCTTCCACTCGCTTTCTACTCGCATCAGTTCATTTCCTGGGTTATGTTAAACAGACCCAGAAAAGGCAGATTTTAACGATGGCGCAAAGGAGAAGGGACAGCCTGGGAGGATGGGTCTGAGCGAACCAGGAAGTCAGTGACTGAGCTCCAGGGAGAGGCGCAGGGCACAGGGACTACACCCAGCTTCTACCCTGCCTGGAGGTGCCCCAGATGGAGCCTGTGGACTCTGGGACCTGTTAGCCTGAGAAGGAAAGTCTGAGGCTAGCTGGTGGCTGGGGACGAGAACAGAGGAGAGGGTAATGGAAGAAAGAGGGACGGACGGCCTGTTAGGCTCTGTGCTGGAGGAGGCCCAGGGGTGAGGGAGATGGCTCTGTGTCCCCTGTTCTACCACAAGGTTGGGAGAGGCGAGAAGAGGCATCAGGAATGCAGGCTGGCTTTACTTAGGGAGGGTGGGAGTGGAGGAACATGGGTTTAGTCCTACAAAATAGCATTTTTTTAATTATTTGACTATTAAATTATCATGACCATTTAAATCATCCTGTAAATGCCTGAAAGCCACATGCATGTCCATCTGTGTTTCCTGATTGTATCTGAACTGCCTCTTCTCCATGCCTGACTTTCATGATTGACAGTACACAGGAGTGATACAGTGCAGCCTCTCTGCAGCCCACAGAGACCAGGGACCACCAAGGAAAGAGGAGGAATCCGGAGTTGCTTTCAAGGACTGATCCTTCCTGGAGACAGTCTGTGCTCACTCTCCCCCAACCCCTACCCTTGCTTGGACTACGCAGACAGCTCTGTCTATAGCCAAACTCCTTGCACCTTGATAGATGCCCACTCTGCCACATCACCAAACCCGCCCTTCACTAACCCCTGTGGAACCTCCAAAGCCTCAGGAGCTACTCTGTGAGATATTAAATATCCATAAGATTATGTAGAAAATTCCTGCAATATTTTGTGTTTAACACTCATTTACATATGCTGAGCCAGGCTCTGTACTAGACTCCACGAAAGGAAAGCAAAATACAAATGATTGTTGGAAAAAACGAAATTATAAATCTCAAAGAAATTCTGCATTAGCAGTTGACCACTCCTGACCATGGCCCCAGACACTCCAGAGTTCTGTTCAAAGTCATCTGCCACGGGGGGCCTCAAGTAGGCAGCTTTGAGAAGCCCTGCAAGGCTTCAAGACTGTACCAACTTCCCTTGCCCCAGTTCCATCCTTGCCCTCACTGGGTTCCGCAGGCCTGGACAGCCCCTGCCCACCTCCCACCTATGCTCAGCCCTTCCTGCAGACCTGCCTCCAGTCCCTGTCCAGCCAGAAGCTTCCTCCAGTCACTCGGGTCCTCAGCATCCCTCTCCTTAGCTCCTTACTCCCCTTGCCTCTTGGCTCACTCTGCAAATACTGCCTTTCGCTTTTCCCTCTGTGTACATGTGCACTCCATGCTCTCCTGTACAGCAGCCCACCCGTTATGCCAAAGTCGGGAACACTCCAAAGTCAAAGGACAGATTCACATTGTTTAAAACCCACAAATATAGATGTTTAAATATTAGTATTGAAACAATAACCACACCTCCCCCTCTTAAATAAAACATTTACTGGTGTAATCCAGCATTTCAGTCGCATTGCTTAGTTGAATCCTTGGCCTTCGAAACTGAACACACCGTTGACTGGCAGTGCAGCGAGCAGGGCGGGATGAAGACTGCCCGCTGTCAGCAGCTCTGCTCACCCTGCCTGTCACAGCAGCTCCAAGTTAATGAGACCTGTGCTTCTTATTGGTTGAGTCAATTTTTGCTGTGATAAAATACACACACACACACACACACACACACACACACACACACCCTGCTGTGAAGAGAGGACCCCCAAAATACTGCTGAGGCTAATGAAAGACTGAGAGCACCATGAAATCACTCAGAGGCTAACTTCATCCACTGAGTTACCGCAGCCTGAATTCGGGCAGTCCAAGAGGAGGGAGAGGCACAAGCGTGCCCCCCGCCCCCTCCCGAGAGCGTGCCTCAGCTGTCAACAAGGTCAATTCAGCTCCACACAGTACTCCACTCTGCAGACCCACCACAGGGCACACCACCCTTGAACAACCCAGAGCGAGGGCCACAGTCAGAAAACCCCCTTTCTTACCTGCTGTGCCTCTGTATTTCCCAACTGTCAGCTTGTAGCGCTCCTTGCTGGAGGCCACTTGAAAGAAATCATACACGGCATAAGCGGATTCGTTGACGGTCTGCAAGTCCACTCGCACCTCATACCGGGTGGGGGTGCCCGTGGTGAGATTGTGCAGTTTTTCAAGTCCTAGAGACATGGGATGGAATTCTAGTAACCAGCCTACCCTATGCGTGAGACCTCGTCATTTGCATCTGAGACTTTCAGAGCCAAAATTCACTTTAGCCTTTACCTTCTCTGCTAACAAGAAGCCTTCCCAACACTTTCTCTTTAATTTTCTGACTCTACTATTTCTTTGGCACAGGCATGCCAATGACTTCTATGGAAGGCACCATGAGGGGAGCAGAGTGATCATGGAATTAATCCACAATAGGCTCCATCTCTCTAAAGGAGAAGCAGCTCTATTTATCAATCATTAATCTCACCAAGTGGAAAAACAGAGCAACACATTCCGATCCCTGAAGAAATCTGCCCCAATCCAACCACAAATACCACCTACTCTACCAGATGCTCAATGTCCGGCTCTGACTTCTAAATTTCACATTTCCCGCTGCATGTTTGGCTATTTCACTCTCTTTGAACATTGCTCCAGAAGACAGCAGAAGAGGGAAAACAACATCCACCACCCTCGGCATCCCTAGCAGAATTTCAGGGACAACAGAATGTCTCCCCAGTCAAAGCCCAGGACCCCAGTTCATTGACCCCTTCTCCACTATGGGGTCTGTAAGAAGTCCAGGCTCGGCTGACCCTGCAGAGCTCAGACACAGCACAAACCCCCGGGGCATTCCTCCCTCTCTCCACTGCCATGGCACAGGGGCACAATGTCCCTGTCACTTGGACCTCTCCCTGAGTGTAGTGGGCATCCTTGAGCTGCCTGACCTGCTTGTCAAAGGGGAAGTGACCCCTCTGCCACCCCCACCCTCCCAATGCTCAGAGAACCGACCAAGCCAGAACTCCTTCATGGGGTCCCCAAAGCCTTCCACGTAGCTCCGCCAACGCTTGAAGAAATCCAGTTGCCCAGTGTTCCGTCTCTGGAAGACCTGAGAAGGGAAACAGGAAATAGGTGCTCCACCTGGACATGCTAACAGACAACTGAGTAGAAGGGAAATGATGTTTATATTTCCAAGGTGGTGCAGGCAGACAAGAAGGGACTGTGAACCCGAACATACACGGACTCCCCCCAGGAGCTCCTCTTTGTGTATATTTTAGAAAGAATTTTCATCTATGTATCAGTTGATTCATGGTATTTATCCACCATATTAACAAGTGTTATTTAGATACAAGAAGTATGCTGGGTGCTCAAATGTGGAGCACCTACTACAGAAGGTTTCTGCCCTCAATTATAGAGCACAGAAGAACTGGGGACTGTGATATAGTTACTAGAGGTAGGCTCTGTAGGGCAGAACATCCCAGACCTTTGCTGGCTCTGATCTGTAACCTTCAACATCTGTTCAACTCAATTGGGGCCCATCATGTTGTCTGCCCTCCCTCCTTTAAATAGTTGGAAAAATTATTTTAGTTCACTTGATTCCTAAATAGCAAGTATTTAGTATTTTGGGGGGGAGACGTTCACTCAAATATTTATTAAGCATGTAGTTGGCACCATGCAAGGTGATAGGTGAAACAGGTAAGCCAGAAATGCTCCCTGCCCTCATGGACCCAGGAGCCCAGTAAATGAAATAGACGTGGATTAGATAATCCAGCAAATAAACATGCAATTAAAACAATGATAAGGCTATGAAAGAAGATGCAATAGGACTGTGAAAGAGTGATCAAGAGGCCAGGAAAGCGCCCCAACAGGGAAGTGGAGAGAGCAAGGGTAGACACTGGTGGGGCCTCAATAAGCATGGCTGAAGACATTGGCCCAGTGGACGAGCTGTGGGTTGTTGAAGGGTCTTAAGCAGGAAGTGAACTGTTCATACATCCATCTTGCTCAGACCTGTCTGGCTGCAGCATAGAGAATGGAAAAGTGGACGAGAGAGGTCGAGTTAGGAGGCCAGTGTGGAGTACTTGACAGGAGGCTGCCCTAAGGATAGACAGAAGTGCCCAGAAGATCAAATTGGCAGATGTGGGGATTGACAGAATGTGGAACTGCAATAGGAGAGAAGCAAGAATGAGTCTTACTGAGTTTGGGTTTGCAGAGCCTGGTGACTATTCACTGAGCTGTTTTCTTGGATGCAGGATTCTGAGAGAGGCCAGGCTCTGAGAGGACATGGTATGAGTTACTTTTCAGGTTTCCTGGTGAATGAGTTCTTGCAAGGGCTGAGTTCTAAGGAGAAGCTAGGCTGGATGTCGAAGGCAGGTGTGCGTCTGGGAACACTAGGAGTTCACCAAATCCTGATTCACTTTCCTCTTACCAGGAACCCATAAAGAGCTCCTTCCCTAGCTCCCCTGGCAGTTAAGTTGGAGCCATGTGACTATTACTAGCCAAAAGGCTGTAAATGGGAGCACAGGAGAGCGGATGGGGCTCTCCGGGTTCTCTTCCATTGCCAAGTGTGGTGGCAAAGGCCACATGTTGAAACCACAGAACCACAGGATGAAAGCAGCCTGAATCCTGCGTCACCACTTAGAAATGGCTTCACACCAGAGCCAAAAAGCTTACATGCCATCTGGAACCTGGGGCTGGTTTGTCTTCACAGCATGACCCACTCCATCCTAATGAACACAGAGCCACCAGACACAGGAAGAAGAGGAAGTCATGGGAAAGGATGAGACCACTCAGGAAGGAACCAGCAATGGATTTGACAGCCCTGGGGAAGGGTGCGTTCATTAAGGAGAGGGAAATGTAGAAAGAAAATCAGAACAATGTGGAGTCACAAAAGCCACAATGAGAAACATGGTCCAGAGTGTCAAACCATGAGAGGTATAGGAAATGGAACCAAACCTGTACCTGGAATTCAGAGACAGAAATCACCAGTGACTTTAAAGCCAAGGCTGTTGACAAGAGATGGGGGAGTGCAGGGTGCCAAACTGGAATGGGCTGAGAGTGAGTGAGGAAATGGAGATGGAGTGAGGTATTATCTCACAGGTGGGCTGCTTTCTTTACAAAACTTCCTCTATCTGGAGAAGGACGGTAGGGTAGTTCCTGTCAGAGTAAATTGAGTTATTTTATCTGAAATAAACTAGAAGAGTACCTAAACCAAAATACATCTGTGTGCACTATTGGAATTGATAATCCATATAATTCCACCGACCTTGAGAGCCAGGGGCTTGAATTGCATCTTCCTCTCCACCTACTTTCCTTTGTGTCCATTCAAAAGAAATCCCAACCCAGGCTTCACAGCTCATATTTCCAAAGAAAACACATTATCCTGAATTTGGTTAGGCAAACCTTCCAATAGATGTGTGGCCTTTACATTTTTCTCTGGGAAGAATCGGGGTGGGGGTAGTGATGCTACAGTCATGCTGAAGCTCCCATCCTGGTAGCTGGCCCAGGAGGTGCTGAATGAAGCACCCACAGTGAAGGGGAGTCCCAGCTCTGAGGCAGCCACAGCCACATCCTGGCAGGGTGTGGGGAGTCAGCCTTTCTGTTCCTGACCCTGGGCAGCCCGTTGAAAAACAGGGACAGAAGTGGGAAAGAAGAGTCCACCATGCAGAGTTGCTGGGAAGATTTCTAGATGCCCTACAAACATGTCCTATAAATGAGAAAGAGCTGAACAGAATTTAGGAATGGTCACAGCCAACAATCACAGGCGGCATTGGCCTGTTGGTGTTATTCCCCTTTTCTCAAGTGTCCCTTTGTTAGAATTGTCCTGCTCCTTCCTTAGCTTCCTTCATTCTTTGCTCATTCGCTGGCTCACATAATAAAACTCATCGAGCATCTGCTGAGTGTTAGACCTGGAGCAAGAATTTATGATGCCATTTTACAGCTGTGAAAGTCCAGAGAAGCAAGTAGCCAGTATCACACAGCTAGTAATTTAGTGGCTGAAGGAAGGGTAACACACACACTCACACAAAACCTCATCTTTAATCAAAAAGGTTGGAAACACCCACTTTGTTTCCTGGCAAGGTACCAGTGCCAACCCCTCCCCCGGGCTCTTCCTGTATCACAGTCAGGGGAGGCCTAGGGCGGAAGTGAGACTGATGTTTGCTTCCCCGTGCATCATGTTATTAGGGGACAGACAGATGAGGATGGTGGGAACACAGGGTTCAGAGAATAATCCTATAAGATAGGCCCACTGTGCTGACCCCCACCTGCTTTCTTTGCCAAAAAGCAATTTGCCTGCCGCCTTGCCTAGCCTAAGTGGACCAGATATGTCACATTCCTCAGCAAACTACCTGATATCTGCAAGGAAATGCAGGCAGGAAATAATGTTGATAAGAGAAACCCATACTTTGAAGGAAGAGACTTCTGTGACTCGTTCATAGAAGGGTAGTTCCTCCTAACCCTAAATCTGTAAGAATGTTTGGTTAAGAAGTCATTTAGAACCAGACAGCATGGGCCAAAGTGACCTAGATGCCAAGGCAGTAGAGACTTGAAAGTCCAATGTCACCCTGCTGTCAGTCAGACAGGTAACCTGGGTGGGACTCTCTGGAAACTTCTCTGAGATCCCCAATAAAACTGGAGTGCAGGAGAGGCACATTGTCCTTCTCCTCTCTGAGAGACCCATTCTCTCCCTTGAGAGTGTCCCCTTTCCCTATCCCTTCCATAAACTCATGCTTATTATTCTGAAAGGCACGTCTGAAATCCTTCTGACTTGGTCACAGGAATTGGGTTTAAAGAAGGGGTCTTTATGCTGCCTCAGCTTCTCAGAAGATTCTAGCTCTGTACCAGTGTCACCTTGCACAAGGTCAGGCTCAGAGCCAAGCCTGCCCTCTGAGGACAGGTGCCTCACAGAGGCCTCTGGTCTCCACCTCTCATTCATGAGCCTGGTGCCCACACTCACCCTGATTTTTTTTTTTAATAATTCTCCAGCATGGCCAGGGAATCTGATTCTGGTGTTCCTGACTCATTGTTTAGACTAAACCACATCCTCAGGCAAGTTGATTAATATTTTCCTAAATTGTCAGATCAAGACACCAATAGCCCCATCTGTCATGGGTTAAAATCAGGGCTTTAAGCAAGGTCATTAATCACAGTAAATCATAACACATTGAACTCAGAGTCTGGCACATATACATAATAACATTATTATATCTCAATAAATGCTTGTTTGCATTGTATTAAATCAGCTTTGAGTGAATTGACTCCCAGGGATCATTTATACACCTTGATCAGGCAGCATTAATTGAGCCACTCAGAATCTAGTCCATTCCCTTTCTGACACCAACACACTCCATAATGAACGATTTGGGAATAACAAGAGCCCCTTAGCGAACCAGTCTCATGGGAGAAGAATCTCTTTGTGTCTGGCTCTATGTGCCAAAACAGGCCTTACACTCAAGAACTTAATATCCTAAATGACTAAACCAGGAAGAAAAAAATCAAAATTGCCTTTAAATGCCTTGGAAAGAGCCTCTGATTCAGTCCCTGAGACTTCCAAGATGGAAACATTTCAGCAGTCCTGGGGTTCCCCAGTTGCCCCAGGGCAGTGTTCTTCCAGCCTGTTCATCAAAGTGGGGTCCTGCCACCCAGGATGGAGAATTTTCTTAAAAACCTTCTAAAGGCTCAAAAGAAGCAATGTTCTCTAGGTCAGCCTTCAGTGACAGAAGACTCCAGAACCCCCAAAGTGAAAATTGTCAGTAAACTATGTGGAGAACTTTTCGGGATTCCACATGTTTTCTGGAGCATGTGGCTTTGCAGTGAACCCTGCAGGGTCCTGGCTCATGTGGTTCACCTCCAGGGGACAGAGAACTTGACTTGAGAGGGACTGGGGGACGGGTGTTGGTGAGGATGAAGGGTGGTCTCAGGATGTCTTTTGCACAGAAGGTAGAAAACAGGCTTCTCGACGGGGGGGGGGGGGGGGGGGGGGGCTTTCAGTCTGATTTGTTCACTACTAGATCTTGAGTGCACAAAACAGTGCCTGACACACAGTAGGTCCTCAATAAACACTGTGCAATAGTTTGCAAGTTTTCCAGGCAGCCAGACTGACAGAGCTCATTCTAAAGTTATCCTAGACAGATGTCTTCTTTCCTATGTGGGTTTGGCTTTCGAAAGCCACACTAGGCAGCACAACGGGCCAATGGTCAATTACAAGCACAGTGGCAGCAAATTGGGCTTCAGGCTGGAAGGGTTGGAATGCCCAGAGTCACACCAGTGCCGATGAACAGCAGCAGGCGCAGGGGGCGCTGGTCAGGTGGAAGACTTCCCTCGTTGCATTCTGCTCTGATATTCTACGGATCAATCGGGAATTCTCCCCATCCAAAATTCCCATCCTATCCAATGACGGCTTTTCAGCTGTTAAATGCCCCTGTGCAGACAGTGAGTTTTCTTGATGCTGCTCCTCGGATGGTCTCATTTCAGCCATGGATGCTCAAGTGTCTTTGGTTTCCCAGGCCCCTGAGCAAATGTGTAAATGAATATAGCTTGGGCACTAAGAGATGGCACTTTCCGTTTCCACAGTGGGTTGACAGTGCACAGCAGGCAAAGGTCGCATGCTGGGTGAGGCAGTGAGAGCTTCTATCGGTTCAGACACGGGGAGGAGAGGGGAGGGAGATAGAAGGATCAGATCACCACCTTCATATGACTGGATCAGGCATGGAATCAAAGGAGAGGCTGTGCAGTTTAAGGGACAATGGCTCAAGAAAAGAAAACCTCCTCAGAGAAGAGAAACTACTAGAACTCTGTCCAAGCTTCCCCCTTTCAGGTCTTAGTCTTTCAAATCAAATCCCCAAAGGCCTTGTTTCTGTCCTGTGGAGCCAGGGTGGCAGAACCTAGACAATAGGCTCTGTCATCCTGAGGACTGAGTCCCCAGAGAGGCCATGTGTTTCCATCTTGAATGGCCTGAGGTGACCCATTGGGAAAAACTAATGAGTAAGGAGGCTGGAGTTATATATATAATATAACTAATATAATATAATATATAATATATACAATATAATATATATAATATAATACATATAATATATTATATAATATAAACTAATGAGTAAGGAGGCTGGAGTTATATATATAATAATGACTTTGTCATTAACTTGTGTGACTCAGTCAAGGTGTTTTTCTCTGTGGACTTCACTTTCCCTGTCTGTAAAACAGGTATAATAATCCTCCCACTTACTCTAAAGCTGTTGGGACAGGGTCATGTTTACAAATGTTTAGGAACATAAGTAACGCACACAAGCCACGTGGTCACCAGCCTTATTTAACCAAGCCTGATCTATGACCAGTAGTCAGTACGAAGCTCTGTCCTTACAGTAGGTTGGGATCACTCTCAAAGCAGCTGCAAGTCCCCAAAGCTCCTCTGTCCCCTGGATAAAAATGAACTAGAGCCCCAACACCCCGTGAGCAGCTGTGACCAGCTCCCTAGGAAGGCAGTCGGTGTTCCACAGAGTTCCCAGGCTCTGCAGGACTCACAATCCAGCCGCCTCCGTCCGTGTCCATGTCACAGTACACCTCCAAGGGCCTGCTGGCGTCGCCATTTATGTAGATGGTGTAGAGACCACTGGCAGCGTTGCTGTTCTGCTGCACCTGGCTGCAGTCCGAGGGGTGTGGGAAACGGGCATCAACTGGAAGGCGAGCAGAGGGACAGTGTGGTGAGAAGGGCAAGGGCGGGGCTTTTCCCTGTCCGTAAGGCAAGCTATTTTGTTAGGAAATCAGTTCATAACCTTCTGCTATTTTGCTCCTTCAAACTCTTCATACACATTTTATTTTCCTCACTTACTCTGCTCTCATCAAACTCTGCAAAGGCATTTTAAGGCTAAGTTCACATCACTTTCTCCCCCAATCCAATTCTCCCACAAAATAACTCTCCCTTTCACTCTGACTTTACTGTCTCCACTGTGGGATGGATTTCTTTGAAATCCTTAACTCCGTTTGCATTGCCCCATGCCCCAAGAAATCCGGAACTCTGCAAGCACTCGCTCACTCCAGCCTTGCCACTGCCTGTCCTCTATGGCACTGCCATTCAGAGGCCAGGATTCTCGTCACCTGTGGAGAGGGGGGTGGAGACGCTCCTGCTCCGGCGATCACCCTTAAAGGCAACCAAGGACACAGGGTAGGTGGTGCCCTGCTCCAGGTCTTGCAACTCCAACCTCTGGTCGCCCCTTCGGAGCTGCACCTCCTACCAAGCAAAGAAGAAGTGGGTGGTCAGTGATGCGGTTTATGGCCCCAGCATGCTGGATGTTGAAGCTTTCCTTGGTGCTACTGACAGAAGCTCTCCGAGGGCTCAGTGGCAGCCCAGAAGCCCAGTGGGTCCTAGCCACCTCTCTGAGGGCCCTGCCACGGAGATTCAGCACTACTGGGAATACAAGCTGAGAGCCAGGCACCGCCACTCCTCCAGCACTGCCAGACCCTAAGGACTTCTTCTTCAGACACCCACCAGAGCACTGACCACAGCCACCACTAGCAGCAATTTGCTGACAATGATGGGCCGAGGAGGTATTTAAAAGGGAGTGAAACTGGCCATTGTATCTGTGGACACAGAAGTAGCTGGTATTTCCCATCTTATTCCCTCTACAAGCACAGGGCTACCTCTCCTAGCAGGACTGTCAGAAGCATTCATTGTAATAACGAATAAGTCAAAATGCCTTCCTTTTTTTCTGCCTTTCTTTCTACCTTACCAAGGAGAGAGAAGGACAAGTTTTGAAAATTTGCTGGCCTTCAGATTCAAGGGTAGATACAACCCTTAAATAAGGATTTGTCAATTCATTCAATATATTTTTATTGAGCACCTACCATGTGCTAAGCATTATCCTAAGCACTTTAGATATAGCTATAAAGAAAATGGACAATGATTCCCCGCCCTCGCAGACCTCACATTTTATAACCTCACTGGTTATAAAAATAAATAACACAGGGAAGATGTGCCGCCAGCAAATGCACAGTGGTCAGCTAGGAGCAGGCACAAAGCTTAGACCTAACACTGAGACCAGTGTTCACAAATGACTGTGCTTAGATGTTTGGTATACACAGCCTGTGATTGACGAGGACCCACGGCATGATTAGCATGTTGCCAGCCAGACAGCAACTGAGGTGATCTGCCCAGTCAGTACCTCCACACAGAGGCTGTGGAGACAGGACACTAAGGGAAAAGACAGAGAATATCCAGTACCTTCACTGAGCCATTTGGGAACTGGTAGGTCAGGATGTAGCCATCGATCTGAGCAGAGGGAGGCATCCAGGTTAACACCCCACCAGAATGTGTTACCCCAAATGGACGGAGGTTTTTGGGAGGGTCAATTTCTGTAAATAAAAAGGCAGGTAATTATCATTACTAAGGTACAGCTGAGGCAAGGCCATTTCTGAACTATTGGTTTATATTTTCTCCCTACATATCCTCCCATTTCTCTTCCTTCCAGTGTAAGTTTTTCCTTACCAAAGGGACTTCCTGTCCTCTGTTTCCAAAAGTAAAGACCCACTGAGAACAAGAAGATTAAGAAATAGGGTGCTGGATGGGTCCCAGAGGCCCAAATCTGGGCCCCCGCCTCCCCTAGCAGATTCCCATAAAGCAGTGGAGATGAGCAGCGCAGGGGAGCAATGAGTTCTTGGAGACAGCAGGGCTCCCAGGGTGACGTGGAGCCAGGAGACAGCCACAGACCTAGGAGGGCCCCCACACAGGAACCAGGGATGCCTCAGCAAGCACAACTCTGGTGTGCTCACTGTGAAGCACAACCGGGATTATGATAAAAACTAAGTTCCATGGAAAGATAATTTCCACGATGGAAATACAAAGTTACATTTCTTAAATACCCACGGGTGTGGCATACATTGGTGTCTGCTGGCAATGCATACCCAGCACAGAAAGAAGTGGGACAAGACAGTACTTACACAGAGAAAAATGAAGGGAGCGATGGAGGCATGGGGAGGGGGTAGAATAAGCAGATTTTCTCATGTGTACTTCCCTACCAAACACCAGGGGGAGTGCGCGGGCATGGGCATGTGCATGAAGCTCAGCAAAAGTACTAGTCACCACCATAATAACTGGTCAGACAGTTCTTCAAAAAAAAAAATTTTTTAAACTAAATAAGACATGAATGGAAATTTCCATTTTGAAGAAACTTCATCATTGAAGGCGATTTTAATTTAGAAGTTCCCAAAAAGACGTCTCTGGGCTATTTTCTACCCAGTAGCATTTCAGCAGAGAACAGAACTGCAGTATTTTAATAGAAATCAGACAAACAGCTGTTGTTTTGAATTAGGTTGTTTTGACAAATTTCGAGTTTCTGTAATATCAGCTTTGTTTGATTTTCTAAAACATCTGGCATGGATCTTATTCTACCCATCACACGGAAAAACTGAATTTGCTTGCAAAATTGTAACTATTTAAACATTTTAACCTAGTTCCTGCCACCTCTTTGACAGCCACTAGTCCCCTGGTCATGGACTTGAGATGTCTTTCTTGGTTACTTTCACATTTCTATGAAGTAGAAAGATGAAAATTTCATTCCTGTCTTTACAAATGGGAAAAGTGAGGTAAAGAGAAGATGAAGAAGGAAGAGACCATGAAAGGAATGGGGGAGACAAGAGAGAAATGGAGGGAAAGAAGGAGAAGTCAGGGACAGAGACCCTGTTTGCTGCTCACTGGGAGAGCACACAGGTGTGGGGAGTCTGGGGTGGAAAGAAGAGGTGGTTTTGTTTTGTTTTTACATAGATTTCTTTAGTTTGAAAACTTTTGCTAAAAGCACATATTCACTCGAGGGTTAAAAATACTGGCTAATTTTCAATAAAATTAAAATCATGAAGAAACTTAGGGCACCTCTAATTCCAGAGGCCCCAGTTGGTGCACTTGACCATAAAGGGTATGAACAGAACTTGCCCAAACTGCCTGAATGACCACAGACCTCCAGCTCCTACTGCAGCCTGATTCCATGATGCTCAGTCAAGCCTAGAGACCCTCACCCACACAAACACACACAGCCCAGCACCCTGGGTGAGCAACTGGATATGGCATGCAGGCCTCACCCCATGGCGACGCCTCACCCCCACCCTGGAAGAGACAGACTGAGGTCCCTGCCTCTCCTCTTCCACCTGGAGTTGAGGCCCAACCAGTTCTGATACCAAGGGCCAGAGAGTCCAACAGCTGGGCTGAGAGTATGTGGCTAGGGGCAGCCATGTTTTGGACAACCATCCCACCACAGGCTCTACACGCAATCTTCTCTGGATGGTCATACGTCAGAGTATCATTTCAAAAATGTAAATAGGAAACAGCCTTGAAGAATGTCCTCGGGTAAATCAAGCTCACTTCCTGAACCCCTCCCCACCCAGTCATGATAAGTGTGAAGGGTTCCCTTGGCTGGTCCCTCGAATACCTGTCAGGGCCTTGGTGTTGGCCTTCTTGCTCTCCCGGGCCCCCTTCTGGGCCCACACCTGGATGGTGTACTCCACACCTGGCTTCAGGCCCGTCAGGATGGTGCTGCTCTTCTCCTTCCCCACTGGAACCTCCCTGGTCTCTCCATCAGCTGAGGTGTAGCGCACCATGTACCTGTCAATGGTGGCTCGCACGGGGTCCCAGGAGATGGTAATGGTGTTCTCTGTCACTCGATTGGTCACCAGGTTTTTGGGGCTGTCGATTTCTTTTTTGAAAGATTTAGAAAAGATTTAGAACCAAAAAAGGACATCTCACCACTCTCCCCATTCCAGCCACTCTCCATTGTCATTAATAATGGTAGGACCTCATTTAAAACAGGGGTAAGAGGCTTCCATTTTCTAGGGAAACAAGCCACTGAATATTAAAACTGGAAGGAATCAGATATTCTCTACATTTATAAATACAGAAATTTTCTGACCTTGTAGTTCTTACCAAAATTGACAGTAAAAATCTGATCATCAAAATGAGTCAGCATAGCTGAAACACTCTTATGATCACCATGGTTTCTATTTACTGTGTTTCACCAAATTTGAGAGCTGAGAAATCAACCCTCCCAAACTTCTCGACTTATAAAAAGGGAAAGAGAATGGAAGACCAGAGAAACGAAGACTTTTATCCAAGTTCCTGTTATTTTCTTGTGCTCAAACCAAGACTGGACCCTCTTTGCTCTGAGTTTTGAAGCCCCTCTCCTGCCCACGTATTCGTCCTTCTCCTCTGCCCTCTCTCCTGCACCACCAGCCTCCCCTTCTCTGCCATCAGTCCAGACACACCAGCCTTAGGGTCCCCATCTCTCCCAGCATCACTTATCCCCTGCACCTCTGAGCTGACAGACTCAAGGGAGGCACCTGCATGTTCAACCCCACCTGTCTCCGGCTCACTCCTCAACTTCATGTTTGGCACCTGCCTACAACACACCACTAATCTGCTAGTCAAGGTCACCAAGGACAACTTTCTAGTGGACACTTGAAATCCTCACTTTACTTGACATTTGAGAGCATTTGGCAGAGCTGATCCCTGCCCTCCTTCTTGGAACTCTCAGCTCTGCCAAGAGCTACACACTCCCCAGATTTTCCTCCTAACTGACTGGCTCCTCCACTTCATCCTCAGTCCTCTGTTAGAAACCTTCAAGAACCAGCCAAAGCTCCCTCTTTTCCTCTCTCTCTGCATTTCTCCCTGGGAGATTCACACATATCCACAGCTTAAAGTGTCAACTGGATGCTCATGGCTTCACAAAATTCTGAGCCCCTGGCTTGAGTCAACTGCTGCTCATCTACCACAGTGCCCCGCCTGTATTAGACACCCCCTAAACATGTGTTGGAATTAATGAATAAATCACTCAATTTACCAAAAAACCTCACAGATATTTCAAGCTTAAATATTTAAAAGTCTCACATTCCTTCCCAAACATTTATCTCTCAGCCTTGCTTGTCAAAACAATGGTACCACAATCTTCTGTGTTGCTCAAATCAGAAACAAAGGTCATATTTGATTCCTTATTTTCTTCTTACCCCACATCTCATTGATCAACAAGCACTGTCACTTATACAATATACTCCCAGCAACCCCTTTTCTCTCTTCCTACTGCCACCACACTTATCCAAATCATCACCATCTCTCACCCAGATTTTTATAATAATTTCTTTACTAATCTTCCTGCTTCTACCCTTGCCTTCTCTCTGCCATTTATTCTCCTCACTATGGTGTGCAAAATGTTTTTGAATACTGCATTATGTCACTCTTGACTAGTAAATATAACATATTTCCTCTTTCAGGTGCCATGTGGTCCTGGATGACCTAACCCTGCTCCTTCCCACCTCATCTCAAGACACTTGCCAGCTCACCTTCTGTGTTCAAAGATATCATCCTCTTTCAGCTCTGCAACCATCTCCTGGGCTGTTCCTGCTCAGGGCCATCACACATGCTCTTGCCTATGCCAGAAATAGCTTTTTCCCCGGTATCTACCCTCTCCTTCTTCTGTAAGCGCACTGTCCAACAGATCTCTGCAATGATGCAACCAATATTTCTGGAATTTGCACTGTCTGATACAGTAGCCTTAGCCACACATGCTATTGACTATCTGAATGTGATTGGTTCAACTGAGGAAATAATTTTTATTTTAGTTATTCTTAATTAATTAAAAACTAAATAGTCACACTAGCTAGATGCAACTTAAATAGTTTCCAGGAAAATTTTAAGGAAGTTAAAACTAAGGGCTGGGGATGTAGCTCAGAGCTATAGAGCTACAGTGTTTGCCTAGCATGCATGAGGATTTAATCCCCAACACTGGAAAGAAAAAGAGAAGTAAAACTGGGCATATGGTCATTCAGATGAAGACCTCATTACCAGCCTCTCTGTAGTGAGGTCTGGCACTGTGTCTTGGATCTGACAGTGAATAGGAAGAATCTATGTGTGCAATATGCCAGTCATGCCTGCCCTTTCCCAGGCCCCTCCCACTGGCTGGAATGCAGATGCAGCTGTTGCCAAGTAAATGAGGCCAACTCCCTGGAGTCCACTGAACAACCACAGACAAGGAGCCTGGGTGTCCTGCACCAGGGAGCTACCACACAGCCCTGGCCCCCTTACACGCTGCCATTTTAAACACAGGAACAGATTCCCCTCCTGTAACAACTGCTATTTGGGTGTCTCCATCAAGGTGTCTGTTATCAGTACTCCCTCACCCCGCTAAGGACCACCCCTCCCTGTTGTTCTCTACACCTGCATCATGTTCATCTCCTTCCCAGAACTCATCATAATTCATAATCATAGATTTGACTTTTTGTTTACTGTCCCTCTCCCAGTGGACTTTCAGAGTGCTGCCATATTTATTTTGTTCACGGCTCTATCTCCACGACTGCCAACTGAGAAGATGTTCGTTAAGTTAGCTGCATGTTGGAACAGAGCTCTAGCTGCCCAATTAATGTTTATAACTTAACTATAAGGTATGCATTAAGTCAAACCTACATAAAATAGCCTGCCACAAAACAATTCCTAATCCACTGGTTTTAGGAATTTTGAATTGTTTTACATTATTTACATTATTTCTATAGTTTCTTTCTTTCTATGGGGAGTTGAACCCAAGGATGCTCTACCACTGAGCTATGCACCCCCCCCCCCAATGCTTTTTATTTTTTTACTTTTGAGACAGGGTCTCATTAGGACTGCCCAGGCTGGCCTTGAACTTGTAATCCTCTTGCCTCAGCCTCCCAAATAGTTGGATTACAGAGTATACCATACTCAGCTTATTCCTAAAATGTTCTATAGCTGAGAAGCACAATGGTGAGAAACATAGACTTTAGAAAGATTTTTAAGCCATTGGAGGGACTACTCAGTGGAGTCTATTACTATGCTTCCTTCCCTCGTTAGGTGAATGGCTCTGGTTTGAATGCCTGACTCCTCTAAAGCTCATCATGAAATTGAACCGTTACTGTATCAGCATTAAGCAGTGGAAACTCTGAGAGATGACTGGGTCACAAGGGTTCTGCCCTCACTCATGGATTAGTGTCATTATCACAGGAGTAGGTGAGAGATCACAAGGTAGGATAAGGTCAGAGCCCTCTTGCTGTCTCTCTTGCCCTCCTGCCAAGTTATGACACAGCACAAAGGTCATCAGCAGATGACAGCACCAAGCTCTGGGACTTCAGACTCCAGAACCACAAACCAAATAAACTTGTTTTGTTTACAATTCACACGATCTGTGGAATGCTATTATAGCATCAGAAAATGTACTAAAGCACCCTGCAAAAACAGCCCACAGTCCCTTAAGTGACAGACCCCCAAATCAACTGTGTCATCATGAAGAAACAATAGCTCATTAATGCAATAAGCTGTGTTAATTATCCTATTTGCTCTACTTGCCCCCCTACCCCCGCCCCGTTACCTACCAATAGAAACAAGGGAAACAAACTTGACTCCATGGATCTAGCACGGCAGCTCTGACATTCCCAAAGAGTGGAGCCTATTACCTGTCGGGGCCTTGGTGTCAGCCTTCTTGCTCTCCCGGGCCCCCCTCTGGGCCCACACGTGGACTGTGTACTCCACACCTGGCCTTAGGCCCGTCAGGACGGTGCTGCTCTTCTCCTTCCTCACTGGGACCTCCCTGGTCTCTCCATCAGCTGAGGTGTAGCGCACCATGTACCTGTCTATGTCAGCCTTCACTGGATCCCAGGAGATAGTGGCGGTATTCTCTGTCACCTGGTTGGTCACCAAGTTTTTGGGGCTGTCAATGTCTAAAAGGAAAAGTGCTGATCAGTACACGCTATGAACAGGTTCCACGGTGCAGAAACTGGTGGCCATTTTGCCTGTGATGAGACTCTTTCAAGTTTTGTGGGTTTTCATCTCATTTGTTTTCTAACTAGTTCATGAACATACATCTCTCTCCCTGGATACACTTGTCTTCTCAACTACAAAGCACTGTCAACAAGAATCTGAAAATCTGGTCTATCACCTCTACCAAAAGCTTCACAGATCTTCTTGTTCATTTAGTAAGGCACAGGGAGCCTTTCCTCATCACAAGGCATGTTGTAGGCAGTGTGCAAGGTTCTGAGTGGAGGAGGATCTGGGAGCTAACACCCTTATGTCTGCCCTCATGTCAGTGAAGACCTCTCTTTTCATAGAAGGAGATTCTAACAGTCACAACCAAATGCTGCAGGAGAAGGCTGCATCTATTCCCCTTCATGTCCCCAATGCTAACAGAGGACAGGACACATGGAAAGTGCTTGGCACATGTTGCAAAATAAGTCGGCAAAAATTCAAACCCTATTTTAATATTCTTCCGTATATATGGATCTACTTGTCATATTGATTTGATAGTTAAATCACTGTCCACAATATGGTCACATATCTCTTCTACAATGGTAAGAATATAACGCAAAAATTATGTTTATCCTCAAAACCCTGGCCCATTACACTCTGCTATTCTACACAGGGAAATAAACTTTTCTCTTGCTTAAGTCATTGTTATTTGGGCGTTTCAATGTGCTTACTGTGACACCCCAACTCATCCAAGAACACTCTGACCTCATCAGTGTCACTTAGGTCACAGACCCCCAAATCAACTGTGTCATCACGTTCTCTATACCTACACCATATCCATCTCATTCAGAGAAGTAATCATCGTTTATAGTCACAAACTCATTTTAAAGGTATGATTCATTTGTAGTAAAGCAAACCCCATACATCTATCTGCTCTATTAGAAGTCACACTTATAAAGTTGAACTTTTACTGCACTCTAAATAGTATTTATTTTTATTTACTATTCCTATTCAAACTAACTGAGAACATCAATAATATCTCCAGCACACAGAAGAGAATTTGTTAGATACACTATCCAAAAATAGCTTAGAGAATGACATGAGGAACTGACCTCTAAGGAAACCAGTTAAGGAAGTGAGGAATGGCATGGAATGTGTCCAGTACCCAGGGAGACTGTCCTGCCCCTGCATAGATTATCCTCTTCTTCCCACGTCACAGGAGGAAATAAACTCTGACCTCCCATAGGTGCCGTATGATAGGTGTCACCTTACCTGTGGGGGCCTTGGTGGTGGCCTTCCTGCTCTCCCGGGCCCCCTTCTGGGCCCACACATCAACTGTGTACTCCACACCTGGCCTCAGGCCCGTCAGGACAGTGCTGCTCTGATCCTTCCCAACCAGAAATTCCTTGGTCTCTCCGTCAGCAGAGGTGTAGCGCACCATGTACCTGTCAATGTCAGCCTCCACAGGGTCCCAGGAGACAGTGGCAGTGTTCTCTGTCACCTGTTTAGTCACCAGGTTTTTGGGGCTGTCAATGTCTAAGAGGAAAAGGGCTGATCAATAAACACTACTAACAGGCACCAGAGAGTGTGCCCGTTTTGCTGGGCCGGGGCAGTTTCTTGTCCTCATGATTTCCCTTCTTCTATGTTCTTCCCTTCTCCTGTGTCATGGACTCAGAGCTTGTCTGCACAGCTGAATTCTTGGGTCCTCAAGGAGGCAGCCCGGGACAGTGAAATGAGTGGCACCCCAGAGTGAAAGGGGCTGGGTTCTGGACTCAGCCTGAGGCACAGCTGAGGGGCAGCAAGCACCCTGGCTGCAGCCCCCAGACCATGGGTCTTCTCCAGCTCTGCCCCCAGCTGCCCATGGCCTTGGACCCCTCACTGCCTCCGACTGTGCCTCACATTCCTCATCTGTAAATGTGGATGTTTGCTATTTGTTTGTTTATTTGGTGTGGTGTGGTGTGGTGTGGTACTATGGATAGAACCCATGGCCCCACAGATGCTAGGCAAACACTCTTGTTTTTTACTTTGAGATAGAATCTTGTTAAGTTGCACAGACTGGCCTTAATCTTTTTTTTTTTTTTTTTTAGTTGCAGTTGGACAATACCTTTATTTTATTTATTTATTTTATGTGGTGCTGAGGATCAAACCCAGGGCCCTGCACGTGCTAGGCTAGTGCTCTACCACTGAGCCACAGCCACAGCCCTGGCCTTGATCTTGACACCCTTCTGCCTCAGCTTTCTGAGGGGCTGGAATTTCAAGCACGCACCACCATGCCCATCTACTCTATACAGATTTTTAAGGTACCATAATATCCCATATTTAATGAATCAAACCTAATAAATGTAACTTTGTGACTTGTAGAAATCATGCACTGAATTTGAGCATTCTCAACTGCAAATGTGGATATTGATTTCTGCTCTACAACTCAAAAAAATATACCTTCTTCTGAGGCTAAAGCAAATGAAGGAAATAACCACCATTCATTGCTGCTGGACATACAATGATTTAACCTCTATGGAAACATCCTGGCAGTCCCTCAAAAATTCAGAATAGAACTACAAAGCCAGGCCTGGTGGCATGTCCAGTAAACCCAGGTACTTGTGAGGCTGAGGCAGAAAAATTACCAAATTTGAGGTCAGCCTTGGCAGCTTAACAAGACCTGTCTCAAAATTTTAAGAAGGGACTGTGGATGTAGTTCACTGGTAGAGTATTTGCCTATCATGTCAGAGACCCTAAGTCAATTCCCAGTACAGCTAGGGAAAAAAAAATGAAATACCAAATGATATAGTAATCACACTTCTGGGCAGATGCCTAAGAGAAATATATATATATATATGTTTTGTATGAAGATATGTGTATGTGTGTATGTGTGTGTATATATATAAAATCTTTTTTTATGAAGATATATGTACATATATATATAAAATGATGCTATGAGGATTTATGTATAAATTTTGTATGAAGCTATATATATATACATATATATATACAGAAGCTATATACATATAGCTTCATACAAAACTTATACATAAATCCTCATAGCATCATTATGCACAATTGTAAAACAAAAAAAAAATACAAAAGTCCAAAAACTGACAAACAAAATATGGTGTATCCATACAATGAAATATTAATTCACAACAAAATTAAGTACCTATGCAGGCTACAATATGGATGAACCTGGAAAATACCATGCTTCATGAAGGAAGCCGGGAACAAAAAGCCACGTATCATGTTAACCCTAGATGTGAAATGCTCAGGACAGGGAGAAGTGAGGTAACAGTAGCTGTTACCTATGGCTGCAAGGATTGGGAATGGAGCAATCAGTAATGGATAAGAGGTTTCTCATTGGTGTTGAAAATGTGCTGAAGCAGCCTGTGGTGGTGTCTGCACCCCTCTGAATGCTCTAAAACTGTCAAATTATGTATTTTAAAGGAGCAAATTTTATAATATTCAAATGCATCTTAATAAGACTTCTTAAAACATGAGAAACAGAGATGGCAAAGCACTAAAATTGTGAACTGTTATTCCATGTAACTCCAACGAGGAACCCAAATTAGTAAAGACTATTCAGAACAGGAGCTGGGACTGTGGCTCAGCGGTAGCACATTTGCCTGGCATGTATGAGGCACTGGGTTCGAGTCTCAGCACCACGTATAAATAAATAAAATAAAGATCTATCAATAACTAAAAAAAAAATTTTTAAAAAGACTATTCAAAACAGAATTTATCCACTAAGAAAGTAATAACCTCCTCTTGTTCCCTTGTGAGCACAGCAAAAGCCATCTCCCAAGGTACCCAGCATGCAAATCCTAAAGTATGTGTCTTCTTTATATCTCTACCCTTTCTGAAAGTGTTTTGATGACTAACCACAAAGAAAACACACAATTGGAGGTACAGTGGGTGGACATGACCAATTACCACTAATCTTTATGAAACCCAAATATGAGGCTGAATCCAAGGACCTATTATAAGATAATGTGTTCAAAGTTACTGAAGGATGGTGGGAACAGTATGACAAAGGTCTGCCATCCAGGTCTTCTACGGGTCACTGATTTCTGCCAATATCAGACAAGGAAAACTAAATATCCTCCCACAGGCCCAGCATAGTGTTAGATTGCCAAAGAACGATGCCCTTACCTGTGGGAGCCTTGGTGTTGATTTTTCTGCTCTCCTGTTTCCCCTTCTGAGCCCACACGTAGACTCTGTACTCCACACCTGGCCTCAGGCCCGTCAGGACGGTGCTGCTCTGATCCTTCCCCACTGGAACATCCTTGGTCTCTCCGTCAGCAGAGGTGTAGCGCACCACGTACCTGTCAATGTCAGCCTCCACGGGGTCCCAGGAGACAGTGGCAGTGTTCTCTGTCACCTGTTTAGTCACCAGGTTTTTGGGGCTGTCAATGTCTAAAAGGAAAAGTGCTGATCAATAAACACTACTAACAGGCACCAGAGAGCAAGAATGTTGCTGGGCGAAAGCAGTTTCCTGTTCTCATGGTTTTCCCTTCTCCTGTGTTGTTTTTCAGGGGTATCACAGACACAGACCTTGTCTGCACAGCTGGATTCTTGGGTCCTCAAGGAAGCAGCACTGGAAAGTGAAATGAGCAACACCCCAGAGTGAGAGGGGCCGGGTTCTGGTCTCAGCCTATGGCTTAGCTGAGGGGCAGGAAGCACCCTGGCTGCAGCCCCCAGACCATGGGTCTTTCCAGCTCTTGCACCCCTCACTGCCTCTGTACCTCACAGTCCTCATCTTAAATGTGAGCCTTTCACTAGACAGATTTTTAAGGTACCTTGATAATTTGATAATTCATGAATATTTAATGAACCACACCATGAATTATCAGCTATGTGATTTGTAGAAATCCTGACTTTCACTTATTTGAACTTTCTCAACTGCAAAATGGGCATATTGGTTCCTATTATAGTATTTTAACAAATTCCTCTGAGGACAAAAGAAATTTTTAAAACTAACCCTCATTTATTGGTATTGGGCAAGCAAAACAACACAACCACTACAGAAATACCTGGGAGTTCCTTCAAAATTGAAGATAGAATTACCAAATTATTAGATTAATTCTACACTTAAGCATATATCTAAGATAAATGAAGATATATATGCACACAAAACTTGTATACAGGGTTGTGGGATCAAGCTCAGTGGTAGAGCACTTGCCTACCATGGGTTTGATCCCCAGAAGCAGAAAAAAAAATTAAATGCAAATAGCCAACCATCATTATTCACAACAGCTAAAAATTGGGAATAACTCACAAGCCCAACAGCTGGTGAAAAAGACAATGTGGTATATTTACACAGTGAAATATTAATTCACAACGAAATTAAGTAATGATCCATGGATGAACCTGGAGAATAACATGTTTCAGGAAGGAAGCCAGGTATTATGTTTACCCTGCATGTGAAATGCTCAGGACAGGGAGATGTGTGGACAGACAGCAGCTATTACCAAGGCTGCAGAGACTGGGGACAGGGAGCAATCAGTAATGGATATGAGGTTTCTCATTGGTGATGTGTGCTGAAACAGACTGTGGTGGTGTCTGCATAGCTCTGAATGCACAAAAACTGTCAAATTGTACATTTTAAAGGAGTGAACTTTATAATATATAAATGCATATTAATAAGACTTCTTAAAAAATGAGGAACAGAGACAGAAAAGCACTAAAATTGTGAACTGTTATTATATACAACTACAACCATGGGATCCTCAAATGTAGTAAAGACTATTCAAAACAGGATTTATGGCAATTCAAGCTAGGGCGTATCAGAGGAAAGCTGCAGTTCCAGTGGCCTTGTGGCCCCAGATTCAAGCAGCAGGAATACTGCTTCTCAGCAAAGTGGGTGAAAGAGGAAATTTACTGAGATTCTTTATCAGAGAGCCAGCCTCTATTCAGGCGTATTGAACAAAGAACAGCAAAGAGTACACTGGAGCCAAGCCAGCAGCAGCAGCAGCAGCAGCTCACTGCAGAGGCAGGGATGATACCAACAGAAATAAACACAGTGAACAGATGTGAGGAGGGAAAACCGACAGATTAGACAAGTGGCCTGAAATTGCCTGATTCGGAGGCTGCACAGGAGCTAGGGTTTGAAAAGTCCTCTCTTTCTCAACTGGCTGCAGAGGGCTGAGGTGGGGGCCACCTTGAGGCAGCCATGCTGCAGCTTGCTGCTGCAGGAACCAGGAGATCACAGCAAACTCTGCCATGCTGCCCTGGAGAGCACCTGTCTGTGGCCTAGGGTGGACCTGGCAGAATGTACGTGAAACAGGCACAGAGAAGATGGTGCCCAGGGGGATCCAAATCAGAAATCCCACGGGGAGGGAAGCTCACTTTCCCTTTGAGTCGGGCAGCTCACGTGACCAGCTGAACAGGGTTGGGAAGCTGAACTGGTGGGCATGATTACTCTCACAGCCTTGGAAGACCATATCCATGGCCAGCGAAGTGTGTGAGAGCTTTGGAGGGTTGGCTCCCCTGCTCCATGAGGTGATCCAGACTCCCAGCAGAGATCTGAATCTGGCCCTAGAAATGGGTTGATCTAACCTCTCCAGAGAAGACAACACCCAACAAAGTCCCTAAGGCCCATTTAGACGTAAGCCCCAGCCACCAGAACTCCCCTCTTAGAACTTTAAGCAGCCTCACCCTGGGAGTGCATCCATCTGGTCTGGGCAGACAACACTCAACTGACGTACTTCCCATTCCATCCTACCTTATACTGGTGAGAAGGGAAACTGAGAGCTATCTCAACCAGCTTCACTTTAGAGCCACTCTAGCTGGAAACTTGGTGAACATTTCTAAAAAGGAAGCGGTTAGCAACTGCCAGCCCTTGCTCTTTCTTTGTATTTTTTTTTTCTTTTTTTCTTTTTGTGGTACTGGGGATTGAACCCAGGGCCTTGTGCATGAGAGGCAAGCTTTCTACCAACTGAACTGTTTCCCCAGCCCTTTCTCTGTGTCTCTGTCTCTCATGTGTCTCTTTCTCTCTGTACATAACACAAGAAGAAACAGAAAGGACGACTGACCCTCAGGGATGAGCAGTGACCATCCATCCTCATCAACAGTTATGACCACTTCAGTGGAGACAATTCTTTCATTTTTTTCTAAGAATCTTTATCTCTTTTCCTTTTTTATTGTGTGTATGTGTGTGTGTGTGTGTTCTTGCTATGCTGATTGGTCATGGATATATATTGGTAATGGTTATATTTCTTTCTTTTTTTCTCATTCTTGGCAATTTTTTAATGATAGTTATTTTTCCTTGTCTTATGAGAGTTAGGGATTCTTGTTTATTTTTTTTACTTGTTTCTCTTGTTCCTTTTTGTCTCAATCTTTGTTTTCTGTTGTTGTTGTTGTTTTCCTTCTTCTTTATAGTCATTACTTGCTACATATCTTCTGCATTTTCTCTGTTCACATCTTGAACATTTTAAAATTTCTTTTACCTTTCTATCATAATTTCTTTCTTTTAATGAACTATATTTTTATAATCTCTCAGAACTAATTGTTGTATATAGCTCCGCCCTCCCTGTTCATGGTGTTGCAGTCATTGTCCTGTGGGCAGCGTAGTCGACACCTGCTGTTTAATGCCAGATCTAGTCCAGGGCTATTTACTGTTTTTGCTCTTGTCAGCTGCTAACCCAGCCATTCCTGTTTTTGTGATAATTAGTGCTGTAGATTTCATAGTAGGCACAGAGTATGTAATGTTTTTTAATGCTCTATATATTTTCCCCTTTTATGTGAAGTGCTAGGAAACTAGAGGGCACTATAAGTTCACAGGGTAGAAACTCTGCTTCTGAACTATACCCAGCCAAGAGAAAGTACAATTTGCTCCACACATAAACTACCACACCCAAACTTCAGTAATACTTTAATACAAAGAATAGAAGAGACAAAAACCCCCAAACTAACAACCAGACCCCAAGTAGGAATACTATGGGTGTCCTCAGGTCCCACTTAAGGACATGCATTCCTATAACAAAAACAGAGAGAATTAACACAAAGCCTGTGGATAACACCTGTGAATCAAATAAGAAATAAAAAACTTTAAATATAAGAAGAAACTAAAAGAATTCATGACTACTAAGCCAGCACTACAGAAAATACTTAAATAAATATCTCACACAGAGAAATTTTTTAAATAAAATTAAAAACAGAGTGCACACACAAATGAACAAATCTTATTTATGGAGTAGCTAAGAAAATAGAACCAAATTAAACATTATCAATAAATCAAAATGGCAGGAATTAATAAATATATCTATAATAACATTGGTTAAAATACATAGGCTGGCAGAATAGATTTTTAAAAACCAGACTGAACTATTTGCCAGAGACTCACCCTACAAGCAAAAACAGCCCCTGGCTGAAATTTAAAGGATAGAAATTGACATCCCATGCAAATGGAGCCCCAAACAAGCAGAGTAGCTAATCTCATGCCTGACAAATCAAATTTTTAAGCCAAAATTAATCACTTCATACAGGTAAAGGGAATAATCCAATAAGAAGATATAAAAATAGTAAATATTTATACACAAAACATTGGTGCACCTAATTACTTAAAGCGAATACTATTCAAAGACTCAAGTAGACCCCAATACAATAATACTGGGTGATATCAACATACCTCTCTCACCAATAGATAGGTTATCCAGACATAAACTTAATAAAGACTCTTTGGATCTGACCAATAATATAAAGCAAATGGACTTAACATACATCTGTAGAATATTTCATCCAAAACAGCTGAATAAGCTCTACCAATGAGCTACACCCCTAGCTGTGAACAATATACTTTTTTATCTTTTAGTTTTATTTTAACAATACATCATTTTGAATAATGAGTAAATGATATAAGAAATCAGGGGAGAAATTTTAAAATTCTTAGAATCAAATGAGAATAGGAAAATAGTGATACAACATGCCAGAATGTCTGCAACATTATGAAGGTGAGAGAAAGATTTATAACTATGAGTGCCAATATAGGAAAATAAGAACAATCCCAAATAAACTACCTAATGCTGCATCTCAAGCTCCTTGAAACATAGGAACAAACCACTTCCAAAATCTGTAGAAGGAAGGAAATCGATGAGCTAAAATTAAAAAAAAAAATTTGAGAAAAAAAAAATACAAAGGATCAATGGAATAAACATTGGTTCTTCGAAAAAATAAACGTGATTGATAAGCCCTTTGCCAAACTAACCAAAGGAAAAGTGAGAAGACCCAAATTAATAAAATTAGAGATGTAAAAGGAGGCTATTTTGAAAATATGGGACTATTCTGAAAATTTATACTCCAAATAAATTGGAAAACCTGGAAGAAATGGACACCTTTCTATACACATATGAACTGCCAAAACTGAATCAAGAGGACACAGAAAACGTAAAAAGACCAATTGAAGTGGCACCCGCTTTTTCCGCTGAAAAGTCTTTAACTGGGCTTCTCCAGAAATCTTCACAGTGGCTGATATTAGGACTGTCAGCAAAAGAGTCTCTGCAAAAGAGTTCAATGTAGATAAACTTCCTATTTTCATGTCACCCTGTTTTACTTGGCCACTGGCAGAGAAGATACCAGCACTCCAGGTGCTGGACACCTCTTACTAGTTTTTCATGAACATATCTAGTATAGTACTTTGTAGAAATGTGCAAACAAGGCTCTGGCCTTGAGCTGGGCTTCACAGAGATGTGTACATTTTTAAGATAAGTTACCAACTGGACTCCATGGCAGGGGAGGAAAGAAGGGAAGAAGAAGCTCTCCCCTTCTCAGGTGTTGTCCATGAAGAGTTAACTTTCCCAAAACAGTGAAAGAAAAAGCGGCTTTTATGTGAACTTTTACAGACTGTGAACTTCTGAGCCCCTCCCTTTACATGCTGGGTATAAAACTCTGAAACTCCCTGAACTCGGGGTTCAGGGGATTAATTGATTACAGCAAAAGCTATGCCCTCTGAACCTGGCTGCAGCCAAATAAAACTGTTTCCTACTATCTTCGGTGCCTTGCCTCATCTGTCCCTACAACACAATAACTAGCAATGAGATAGAAGCAGTGATAAAAAGTCTTCCAAAAAAGAAAAGCTCAGAACCAGATGAATTTTCAGCTGAAGTCTACCAGACATTTAAAGAAGAACTAACACCGGGGCTGGGGTTGTGGCTCAGTGGTAGAGCACTTGCCTAGCACGTGTGAGGCACTGGGTTCAATTCTCAGCACCACGTATAAATAAATTAATAAAATAAAGGTCCATCAACAACTAAAAAAAAACCCAAAATTTAAAACAAGAAGGACTAATACCAATTTTTCTCAAATTATTCCATGAAATAGAGTTTTGGAACACATCCAAATTCATTCTATGAAGCCAATATCACTCTATTAAAACCAGATAAGTTGGGCCGGGATTATGGCTCAGTGGTAGAGTGCTTGCCTAGCATGAATGAGGCACAGGGTTCGATCTCTGGCACCACATTAAAAAATAAATAAATAAACAAAATGAAAGTATTGTGTCCATCTACAACTAAAACAAATATTAAAAAAAAAAAAAACCAAATAAGTACACATCAAGGAAAGAAAACTACAGACCAATATCCCTGATAAAATCCTTAATTAAATATTAGCAAATCATATTTAACAATATGTTAAGATCATATATCATGACTATGTTGGTTTTATCCCAGGGATGCAAGGATTGTTTAATATATGCAAATCAATAAATGTAATTTACCACATAAATATAATTAAGGACAAAAATCACATAGTCTTCTCAATAGTTACAGAGAATGCCTTTGACAAAACTCAGCACCCATAAATGCTAAAAACACTGAAGAAACTAGGGATAGAAGAAACCTATCTCAACATTATAAAGGCTATATATGACAAACACAAAAGCCATCTCCCTAATGTAACTAGTTCACAAATCCTAACATGTATGGCTTCTTTGTATCTCTTCTCTTCCTAGAAGTATTTTGAGGTTAACTACAAAAGAAACACATAATTGGAGATACAGTAGGTGAATATGACTAATCATCATTAATCTTTCTGAAGTCAAACTATGAGACTGAATATAGATAAGCTCCTTATAATGAGATAACATGTTAAACAGCATTAAAGCATGACGTGAGTTGTATGACAAAGGTCTATCATTCAGGTCTTCTACAAATCATGGACTTTTGCCAATTTCAGAGGAGGAAAACTCAACTTCCCAAAGGCTTAGCATAACAAGTGTTACGTTCCCAAAGAATGGCATTCATTACCTGTGGGGTATTTGGTGTAAGCCTTCTTGCTCTCCTGGGTCCCCTTCTGGGCCCACACATGGACAGCGTACTCCATCCCTGGCCTCAGGCCCGTCAGGACAGTGCTGCTCTGATCCTTCCCAACCAGAAATTCCTTGGTCTCTCCGTCAGCAGAGGTGTAGCGCACCACGTACCTGTCAATTTCAGCCTCCACGGGGTCCCAGGAGACAGTGGCAGTGTTCTCTGTCACCTGGTCAGTCACCAGATTTTGAGGGCTGTCAATGTCTAAGAGGAAAAGTGCTGATCAATAAACACTACTAACAGGCACCAGAGAGTGAGACCATTTTGCTGGGCTGAGGAATTTCCTGTTCTCATGGTTTTCCCTTCTCCTATGTTTGTTTTTAGGGGTGTCACAGACACAGACCTTGTCTGCACAGCTGGATTCTTGAATCCTCAAGGAGGCAGCACGGGACAGTAGAATGAGCAGCACCCCAGAGTGAGAGAGGCTGGGCTCTGGTCCCAGCCTGAGGCTGAGCTGAGGGGTAGGAAGCTCCCTGGCTGCAGGCAGAAGACCAAGGGTCTTCTCCAGCTCTGCCCTCAGCCAGCCATGGCCTAGGACCCTCACTGCCTCTGACTGTGCTTCACATTCCTCATCTGTAAATGCAGGCCTTTCACTAAACAGATTTGAGGATACCTATACCTTGATAATCCATGAATATTTTATGAATCATCACATCAGCTGAGTGACCTGTAGATATACTGCACTGCACTATATTTGAGCATTCTCAGATGCAAAATGGGCAAGTCTGATTCCTGTTCTACTATCTCAACAAATTTCTGTTTTACTATTTCAACAAATAACGCTCAGGTGGGCACAGTGGCACACCTGGTATGACTGGCTACTCAGGAAACTGAGGCAGGAGGAACATAAGTTCAGGCCAGCCTTGGTAACTTGACCCTGTGTCAAAATATTTTTTAAAAGGACTGAGGATATAACTCAGTGGTAGAGTACTTTTTTAACATGCACAAGGCCCTGGGTTCAATCCTAGTGTCTGTCTCTCTCTCTCTCTCTCTCTCTCTCTCTCTCTCTCTCTCACACACACACACACACACACACACACACACACACACATACACAACCATAAATCATTGCTAGTGGGAATGTAAAATATGTAAAATGACACAAACACTTCAGAAATAGTTTGGTAGTACCTCAAAGATTAAAGGATAGGATTAGCAAATTATCTAGAAAGTTCCCACCTGATAGAAATGAAGACATATGTGCACATAAAACCTTGTGCACAAATGTTCATAGTATCATTATTCAAAATAGCTAAAGGTGGAAAAAACTCTAATATCCAATAATTGGTGATGGATAAAATGTATGTATCCATACAATTAAATATTAATTCACAACAAAATTAAGTACCTATGCAGGCTACAACATGGATGAACCTGGAAAATACCATGCTTCAGGAAGGAAGCTGGGCACAAGCCAGGTGTTATGTTTACCCTGGATATGAAATGCTCAGGGTAGGGAGATGTGTGAACAGTTAGCAGCTGTTATCTAGGGCTGCAAAGACTGGGGACAGGGAGCAATTGGCAATGGATATGAGGTTTCTCTTTGGTGATGTGTGCTGAAACAGACTGTGGTGGTGTCTGCACAGCTCTGAATGCACTAACATTGTCGAATTGTACTATATATATTAGTTGTAGATGGACACAATACCTTCATTTTGTTTATTTATTTTTATGTGGTGCTAAGGATCGAACCCAGTGCCTCCATGCAAAGGCAATCGCTCTACCACTAAGCCATAGCCCCAGCCCCTGAAATTGTATATTTTTAAGGAGCAAATTTTATAATATGTAAATTCATCTTAATAAGATTGTTCTTAAAAATTAGAAACAGAGTTGGAAAAGCACTAAAATTGTGGACTGTTATCCCATATAATTACAACCGTGGGATCCCCAAATTAGTAAAAACTATTCAAAAACAGGATTTATCCACTAAGAAAGCAATAACCTTCCCTTGTTACCTAGTGAGCACAACAAAAGCCATCTCCCACGGTACCCAGCATGCAGATCCTAAAGTATGTGTCTTCTTTAAATCTCTAACCTTTCTGAAAGTGTTTTGATGACAGACCAGAAAGGAAATACACAATTGGAGGTATAGTGGGTGGACATGACCAATCACCACTAATCTTTATGAAACCCAAATTTGAGGCTGAATCCACGGTCTTTGTTATAAGATAATGTGTTCAAAGTCACTGAAGGATGGTGGGAAGAATATGACAAAGGTCTGCCATCCAGGTCTTCTACATGTTACTGATTTCTGCCAATATCAGACAAGGAAAACCAAACATCCTCCCACTGGAAAAAGGTTCACCCAAACTTTGTTGGTGGGACTGCAAATTGGTGCAACCACTCTGAAAAGCAGTATAAAGGTTCCTAGAAAACCTGGAATGGAACCACCATTTGATTCAGTTATCCCACTCCTCCATCTATACTCAAAGGATTTAAAATCAGCATACTGAAGTGATGTAGCCACATCAATGTTTATAGCAGCTCAACTCACAATAGCTAAGATGGAACCAAACTTGGTGCCCTTCAGCAGATGAATGGATAAAGAAAATGTGGTACGATACACAATGAAATATTACTCAGCTATAAATAAAATGAAATTATGGTACTTGCCAGTATATAGATGGAACTGGAGACTATTATGCTCAGTGAAATAAGCCAATCCCAAAAACCCAAAGGCTGAATGTTCTCTCTGATATGTGGATGCTAACACACAACGGAGGGGATGGAACAGAGTTCACTGGGTTAGACAAAGGGGAATGAAGGGAAGTAAGCATGAGAATAGGAAAGACAGTAGAGTGAATCAGACATAACTTTCATATGTTCACATATGAATACAAGACCAGTGAAACTCATGTACATCATGTACCAACACAAGAATGGGAAGATATCCTCCCTGTGGGTATAACATGACAAAATACATTCTACTGTCATGTAAATCTAAAAAGAACAAATAAAAATAAATAAATAAAAACATCCTCCCACAGGCTTAGCCTAAAAGGTGTGAGATTGCCAAAGAGCGATGCCCCTTACCTGTGGGAGCCTTGGTGTTGGCCTTCCTGCTCTCCCGGGTCCCCTTCTGGGCCCACACATCGACCATGTACTCCACACCTGGCTTCAGGCCCTTCAGGACGGTGCTGCTCTGATCCTTCCGCACTGGAACCTCCTTGGTCTCTCCGTCAGCAGAGGTGTAGCGCACCACATACCTGTCAATGTCAGCCTCCACGGGGTCCCAGGAGACAGTGGCAGTGTACTCCGTCACCTGGTCAGTCACCAGGTTTTGGGGGCTGTCAATGTCTAAGAGGAAAAGGGCTGATCAATAAACACTCTAACAGGCACCAGACAGTGTGCCCGTTTTGCTGGGCCGGGGCAGTTTCTTGTCCTCATGGTTTCCCTTCTTCTAAGTTCTTCCCTTCTCCTGTGTCATGGACTCAGACCTTGTCTGCACAGCTGAATTCTTGGGTCCTCAAGGAGGCAGCCCAGGACAGTGAAATGAGCGGCACCCCAGAGGGAGAGGGGCTGGGTTCTGTTTCCCGCCTGAGAGGCCCAAATCAGCTGTGATTGTTACAGTCCAGCAAGACATTCCAAGACCCCTGCATCTGCTCCTGCCCGACCTCTCCTCTCTTCTGATTCTTTAGCCCTCTTCCTTCTGACCCCTGGCCTCTCCTCCTGACCTTTGGCCTCTCTTTCAAACACAAATGTATCAGAATTTGCACTTAGCAAGCTGAAAGGACAGTAGTCAGAGTCCAAGAAAGAAAGCGAGAGAGAAGCTGGCAGCTGGTGTGCGAGTGGCCAACGGTACAGGAAGGTGAACTGCTTCACAGGAAGTCACTCTTCCATTACCAAACAATGGACATTTGGGGGACTAGACACTGTCTTATTTTTAACTAGAAAAACACAGTAATTATTTCTGCTTAGAACATTCCTCCAGAAGGCAGAAACAAGGGCAAGCTTCATAGAAAGGTTTAAACAGGTGGGAAGTTTTTTGTTTTTGTTTTTGTTTTTAAGTTGGTTTAGGATCAGGATGCACAAATCTTGCTCTCTTGGCATGACGGTTACTTGTGTTTCTTCATATGTACTCCTCACCAAGAAACACTTAATTTTTTAACAACAAGAAAGGTACACAGGCAGGGGAAGAATGGGGGACCATTAAAACAGTAACCATCAATCTGTGAAGACTGAAAGCCATTCAAGGAAGTAAGAGGTACTCCATTTAGTGTGAAGGCGTGCTGAACCCTAGTCCATGAAGCCGCCCTGTCTGCCAAGGTCAGAGAAGAAGCCCAGCCGCCCAGACCATGAGCTGGACAGTGACACAGCGTGTCGCGAGCTGGTTACCTGTGGGGGCCTTGGTGTCGGCCTTCCTGCTCTCCTGGGTCCCCTTCTGGGCCCACACGTGAAACGCATACTCCATGCCTGGCCTCAGGCCCGTCAGGATGGTGCTGCTCTTCTCCTTCCCCACAGGAACCTCCCTGGTCTCTCCATCAGCCGAGGTGTAGCTCACTATGTACCTGTCAATGGTGGCCTGCACAGGATCCCAGGAGACAGTGACCGTATTCTCTGTCACATGGTCAGTCACCAAGTTTTGGGGACTGTCAATGTCTGGAAGGAACATGTTTGGGAAAGCCTCAGCTCTGATGTGGAAGGAACACCCACTGGTCCCCCCAGCACCAAGATTTTTTTTTATTAAAACAGATACAACATTTTTTATACCTTTATTTTATTTATTCATTTTTATGTGGTGCCAAGGATCAAACCCAGTGCCTCGCACATGCTAGGCAAGCGCTCTACCACTGAGCCACAACCCCAGCCCCAAACACCGAGACTTTCATCTTCCAGAGCTCTTAGCACAAGGCAACAGGACTCCCACCCTGAGTCTCTGGTGGGAGTCAAGTCAGAAAGTAGTGGTAGTGCCCACCTATAATTGCAGCTACTAGGGAAGCAGAGGCAGAAGGATGGCAAGGTCAAGGCCAGCCTGGGTAATTTAGCAAGACCCAGTCTCAAAATAAAAAATAAAATGATTGGGGTGTAGCTTAGTGGTAGAACACTCCAGGTTCACTCCCCAGGACTGAAAAAAGAAGTATGAACATTAGCGCAGAGAGAAGGCAGCCCTCTGGTTCTCAAAGGGAGGATTATTACAAATTTGGCGCTACTTCTGGGTGTCCAGCTCCCTGACGTGGAAGGAAGAATGTCTTTAGTGGTATATGCACACATAGACTGCCAATTAAACATTCTGCTGAGCGTTGGGACACCTAATTTATCATTTCACAAAGGCCTACTTCACCAGCAAGCATTGTAAAATTATTACCACAATCCCTGCAATAACCATATCTATGTGTCCTGCCTAAGTCTGCTAAAAACAGTGCTACAACACAACTTTACTGCTTGCTTCTCCTGACCAAGTGGCTTCATGAACAGCTCATCACTTGTCAGAGAAGAGCAGCCCACTGACATCAACCCTGGAGCTCACTGTCCTACAGGTTCAGGGTTCTGGTTGTAGTCTCTCGTCCCTGGTTCCATGCACACTCAAATCCACAAGTACAGAATCCAATTCCAATGGGCCATTTTTCTCTACTCACCTGTTGGGGCCTTAGTGTCGGCCTTCTTGCTCTCCCGGTCCCCCTTCTGGGCCCACACATAGACTTTATACTCCACACCTGGACTCAGGCCCTTCAGGACGGTGCTGCTCTGCTCCTTGGCCACTGGAACCTCCCTGGTCTCTCCATCAGCTGAGGTGTAGTTTACCACATACCTATCAATGGCAGCCTGCACAGGGTCCCAGGAGACAGTGATTGTATTCTCCGTCACCCGGTCAGTCACCAGGTTAGCTGGGCCATCAATTTCTTTAAGATATAAAAGAAGGCAGACTTTACCACCCTCTAGTTCCTGAAAAGCCAGCACATTCACAGGCAAAAAGAGGACCTCGGTAACCTTCAGAGTCTGCTATATGCCAATAATTGAGTGAGTTGGAGGATTTAAGCAAGGAAGCAGTCGGAGATCCCACATTTAATAAGCACAGTAGCAACATACAGATCAGTGCTATACACTTTCCCCATAAATTGCTTTTTGATGAAAAGAATTGGTCTTCATATACAGATTTCTCCTCTACCCTGTATTAACATAGCACACTCTTTCTATTCCTAACTTTATATATATCTTTCTTTTAGTTGTACACAATACCTTTGATTTTATTGTTTCATTTTTACGTGGTGTTGAGGATCAAACCCAGGGCCTCGCACGTGCTAGGCAAGCGCTCTACCCCTAAGCCACAACCCCACCCCTATTCCTAACTTCTTGTAAGCAATAACTTCAATAACTCTCTGCATTTGTTTGGGGGAAGAAAAATATCCTGGATGTAGGAGCTGTTAGTTCTTTCCATCTAAACAGCATGTCTGTGTCCAGGAACCGGAAGAGTTTTAAAGGGATGGTATTTGAGGCCTGGGCTAATAAAAGTACTCTTACTTGTAGGAGCTTCCCGGGTTTCTATGTGACCTAACCTCTAGGAAGAGGGAAGTGTCAGTGCCTACCTCACAGACAGGGGTGAATTCTATAGGAGCTATTGCATAGTAAATACTATATGTGAAATACCACATTCTCCTCTAAATGTAAACCCCTAGAGAGAGTTAAAAATCAAAGTAACTGTTATATGGTTAGAAAGGATGCCTTTCTTTTCATGTTTAAACAACAGTTCCTCAAAAGGCTGGGCTCTCTGGGATAGCAAATACATTTCACACCTGCCTGGCAGCACTTGCCAAGCCTAGCACACTGGCTCAGGGGAGTACATGGCCAAGGAACATGACTGGCCTTAAGGACCAGAGTTCAGACTGCAGCACAGGCAGCTGTCATGTAAGGACAGATGACTTAGATCCTGGGACTCTGAGCTGGCTTTACCACTCCTGCCTTCTTCACAACGCAGCCCCTCACAGACCTGCCCCCTTCACAAGCCCTGAGATTACCTGACCTGAAGCTTCTTAGCACACTGCTGTCACCTCCAACTGCCACCGGCCCTTCCAGGCTGTGTTCAGTCGTCACCTCCTTCAACAGCCTGCTATGACCCCTATCCCACCCTGGGCTGTGGTTGATATCCTTTTTATAGGTCGCCACAGTTCCAGGGCTGTATGTTTCCTCTAGAACCTAACTCAGGGTATTTGATCTTTTTCACTTGTCTTCTCTACAAATCCTACTCTAGAGTCTGCCGGGGTTTCTCTGTGACCCCGCTGGTGAGAACCCGGGCTGCAATGCCCTCTAGCTGTTCACTTGTGAACAACTCCCAGGCGTGAGTCAGTTCCTTTATCATGGCTCCCCCAGAGCCCAGCTCCATGCCTGATGCCCCCCACCCAGCAGCAATGTCACACTCCAGCGGATCCCCAACTGTGGGGTGCTTACTAACACCACCCCACCTGAGGAAAGAGGAGTTTCTTCTCTTGTCCACCCTCCGTTTTCTTAAAAGAGCTGATCCACATGCTTTCTTTGTACAGTGTTCAAAATCTGAGTGAGTTTACTCAAATGAGTAAACAGACAAGGAGGCAGCAATCTACAGCCCATAGGCCAAATCTGACCCACTGCGCATCTTTATAAAGTCTCACTGAAACACAGTTGTTGTCTGTGGCTGTCTTCACATTCCTCAGCAGAGCTGAGTAGCTGCACAGAAACTGTGTCTCTAAAGCCAAAGACATTTATATCTGATCCTTTACAGAAAGTCTGATGATCCTGACTTTCACCAGATTTAGAACTTGCAGTCTTTACTGTCCACTTCTCTCCTCCCTGGAGAAGAAGGGGGCTCTCAGAGGCCCACTAGCATCCATTCAGCAGGCTGTGCACCACAAAACATTCCAAGGCCAAAGGCTGATTAATTCTAAGAAATAACTATTGCTGTTATTTACATAGCACTTGCCAAATGTCAGGTATTTTACATGAAGTAATTCATGTAATCCTCCCAACGACCTCTGATGCAGACTCTCTTGCACCATTTTACTGATAAGAAACTGAGGAATAGAGGTGAAATAATTTGCCCAAAGCTACTTGGCTAGCAAATGGCAGAGCTGAGATTAAAATCTGGACAGCCGCACTCTAAAACCATACTCCTAACTTGTACCTGCTTCTCTGAAAGTCAGCTCAGCGACTGCCCAGAACAGGGCCCACACGATAAGCAAATCCTTTTCCCGTGATGTCCTGTCGAGTGTTTTGGAACCTCAAGTGAGCACCACAGTCAGGCTGCTCTGAATCCCGGGAGGGACTAGAGGAGGGTGTAGCCAGAAGGAATGGCCACGCTCTGTCTCAGTACACCTGCAGGCCCAAGCTGAGCAGGATGAGCAGATGAAGAATGGCAATGCTTATGTTCCTACAGTTTAAAGGCAGAATCGGCACATTTGGGGAATGTTGACTCAGGATGCAAACCATTTCCATTTCCATGGTTTGCAAGAGAGCTCCAGACTATATGCAGACTGCCCACACAGTCACTGCAAACTGAGATAAGTGTCCAAATTTCCTGTCAGTCCAACACTTTAATTTTCACATTCAAAAAAAAAAGAAAATTATGAAAAAGGTACCCTCTTGAGAGAGTTGCACACAGAATTCCAGCCCAAATAAATGACCTTCTGCATCAAATAAAAGACTGGTCTTCTCAGTTTAAAATTAAAAAGGAAAAATTTCTCTAATTATGAAACTCAAAATTGCTTTTGCAAGTTTCCTCTACCCTGCTAATGAAAGAGTTGATGCCAAGTGGCAACAACCTCCTAATTCAAACATGAACCCTCCCCTTGCTCTGGGGAGTCATGCCATTCCCCAGCCTTCCATACCTGTGAGGGCTTTGGTGTCGGCCTTCTTGCTGCCCTGGTTGCCCCTCTCGGCCCACACATACACCTGGTATGCCTCCCCCGGCTTCAGGCCAGTCAGGACAGTGCTGCTCTGGTGCTTGGGTACTGCCGTCTCCTTGGTCTCCCCCTCAGGGGAAATGTAGCGAACCACGTACTTGTCTATGTCAGCCTTCACAGGGTCCCAGGAGACAACTGCTGTGTCTTCTGTCACTTGATCAGTGACCACATTCCTTGGACCATCAATTTCTTCATAAAAATGCATGAGAAAGAAACATTAGAAAACCCATTTGGCTGGCCAAGATCACAGATGCTTTAAGATCTAGTTAATCTGGGTGACCTCATTCTGTAGTCTACATCATGCAAGAGGGTCTCTCCATCATCAGTGACAGATGGACACTGGTCTCTGCTTTAAGCTGAGTTCATTTGTTCCACAATTCATTGCACATCCATTAAGTGCCAGGGAATGTAATCAGTGGCAGTCATCAATAAATGAATCAGAAATCTCTGCTGGTATCAAGTTTATATTCAAAAAGGACCAACCCAGACAAGATGCAGCCCATGTCTTCAACACATATGTGCTTCCCAATAACACGTCCTGAGCTGGTGGCCTTAGAAAATCCCTAATCTTTCTCACTAACTCAAGGGCTCTCGATCATTGTAAACACTGGGTGCCTCCTAAGTACCACCACCAGAGATTTCATTTCAGAAGATCTCAGATAAGCCTTGGCATTCTAGTTTTAAAAGTCAATATACAAAACTCTCAAATGACTCTGATGCACATCAAAAATCAATAATGGCCTGGGGCTGGGGCTCAGTGGTAGAGCACTTGCCTAGCACATGTGAGGCACTGGGTTTGATCCTCAGCACCACATAAACATAAGTAAATAAAGGTACTGTGTCCATCTACAACTAAAAAAAAATTTTTTAAATCAATAGGCTCCATGTTAAGCCACACCATTCTCATTTTTTGCATGTAATACATTTCCTGAACCCAACATTGACCCTTATTATCTTATAGATTCCATTTATAATTTAGTCTTTTGTCCAATATAGCTACTTTCCTGTCCAGCTTCTTGTCATTGGAGAAATTTATAAGTAAGCCATCTGAGCACATCATCAAGGTCCCTGATAAAGATGCTGCACAGAGCAAATCTGAGGCATGTCACCAGAACTCCCCCAAATGCACTTTGGCATCTTGGGGGTAAGTAAACAAAACAGCTCTTACTCTCAGACACCTAAGCATTTTTCCTTCCTCCCATGCTACTTTTAATCTCTTGGCCAAAGAGTCTCCAGAGAGAAGTTACAACTTCACATAGTCTCATTTTTTACTATTAGCTATAATATATCTTTCTCAAGTACAAGGGCAATGTTTCATTTGTGTGTAGAGATGAAACAGGTTCCATCACCAGAAGCAGTGCAGATTTCATTTAGTAAGTCAACTGCCATTTACTGAGTGCGTACTAAGTGCCAGGTGCTTTTTATATATTACTTTATCAAATCTCATGGTAGAAATACAAGGCATTTATCAGATTATCCCATGGAAAATGAATAAAAGCTACTGCTCTTACAGCACTAAGTACATGCCTGGCTCAGAAAGGTTAGATAACTTGTTTAAGATCACTCAGCTAGAGGTCAGACTCATTCCACAAAGTCATTGAATGCTTCCTCGAAGCTAGGGATTCATCAGCTGGAACTGTGCCCTTCCCCCAGCCCTACTCCCCAAAATATATTGATGTGCTATCCCCCAGGACCTCAGAATATGACCTTAGTTAGAAATAGAGTTTTTCCAGAGATAATCAAGTTAAAATGAGGTTATTAGGGTGGAGCCAATTCCATAGGACTTGAGGGATGTTTCTATAAGTCACAGAACAATCATTGTCGATAAACATCAGAGGCTAGAAGATAAAGGAGGGTTCCCCTCTCCAACCATCAGAGTAAGCATTGTCCTGGGGACACCTTGATTTCAGACTCCTAGTCTCCATAACTAGAGACAAAAATCTCTATTGTTTTAAGCCACCCAGGTTTTGGTAGGTTGTTCCAGAAGCCTTTGGGAACTAATACAAGCAATGAACAAGATTTAGACTGTCTTATGAGTGTACACTCTCTCGGGAAGAGATAGGCAACAAGCAAGTAGTACAGCATTATGAATTCAAACAAGGCAAGGTAAAGGGACCACAGGATAAGGAACACGGATGAGGGATATAGCTGAGTGGCAGAGCAAGTGCTCAGGGTGTGCAAGGCCCTGGCTTCAACCTCTGGCACCAAAAAGGAAGAAAGAAAATGATGAACAAATTGTCTTCATGATTTTAGACAAGGAAATCAGGGAAGATCTCTCTCACTGACAAGGTCACATTTGAACAAAGACCTAAATGAAATGAGGCAGCCAGTCGTAAACATCCTGGGGGAACTTACTACCAGGTAGGAACAATAAGTTGATAGACCCTGCTTCCTGTGTTCAGGGAACAGCAAGGAGGACCAGGTATTGGACAGAGTAAGTGGCCTGAGGTAAGGTCGGTGAGGCGAGGGGAAGAGTGGACTGTGGACGGCCGTGAAGGCCATTGTAATGACTTTGACTTACTGAGTGAGATGAGATTTTTGAGATGAGATTTGGGGTTTTGCAAAGAAGAATGATATGATCTGACTTCTGTTACTAAAAGATTCTTCTAGTTACTGATAAGAGTACAGACCATAGCAAGTTGAGTGGACGCCACCTGGAGGCTGTACTAACCATTTGTGTGCAAGATGGCAGGTGTTCAGACAACTGCCGCAGTGACAAAGGTCATGAAAAAAAGGACAGCTTGGGAGTTTTCAAAGGTAAAGCTGCCAGAATCTGCCGACAGAATTGATGTGGGGAACAATGAATGACTTGTTGGTTTGGGGCCTGAGCAATATGCAGAATGGAGTGACCATTTACAGCAGTGGGGAGGGAAAGGTTCACAGTAGGAAGTAGAAAGAGGGATGGGACCAATGGTTGCTTGGAGACGTATTAAGTGGTATTTGAATCCAATTCTATCAGACCATGCATTCCCACTTTATACCATTATAACTCATGCAGCATTATCATAAGTCTATTCTCATGGAACCACTACTAATAATAAATCATAAACAAAACAAAGTGTGATCTGAAAGGTTAGTAATATCTAAAATCTAGCAGCAGTAGTAAATCATAATTTGAAGAGAAAACTAAGGAGAGAAAATAGTCTTGGCCTTTTGCCTCTGGGAAACAGGCTCTGGGCATACCTCATTGGCAGAGCAGACCTCATGGAATGAGATTGGGCAATTGGCACTGATGCCCAGGGGGCCATGTCCAGGTCTTAGGAGGCTGGAGCAGGCTCTAAGAGGTGTTCAGGAGGAAGCATGCAAATAGTAGAGGACTCTCCCAGCCCTGTTGCCTCTTTCTATACAATAAATAGTTCTGCACATGCTAGGGAAGGGATAAGCACCCTCCAAAGGTGAAATCTCAGTCTGGGAAATCAGCAGTGAACTGAGAATGGAAAAGTAAGGGAGGAGGAAGAAGAGTGCAAGAATACCCTGAGCCAGGCACTGTGATGCACGCTTGTAATCCCAGTGGCATGAGGGGCTGAGACAGGAGAATCACGAGTTCAAAGCCAGCCTCAGCTTAGCAGATCAGTGAGACCCTGTCTCTAAATTAAATACAAAATAGGGCTGGGGATATGGCTTAGTGGTTGAGTGCCCACCCAAAATGAGAACACCCTTGAAGTCCGTGGCCCTCACCCTCTCCAAAGTGACCCACATCCACACACCCCAGGGTCCCAGCAGTGGCTTCCACCTCCTCTCCCTGCCTCTGATCAGTGCTCCTTCCACACTGCCCAGGCCCATAGCATAGGCCCATGGCTTGGTGGGGTCGGGGCTGCCTGTGGGTGATGAGAGATCTACCACATCCCCACAGGCAGCAACCAGCCCTGGAGCCCCATTCCCCCAATGGTCCCAGAGCCCTCAAGAGATGCAGTAGAGCCGCCCCCAAAAAAAAGACCCTTGGCTATGAAAAGTAGGAAATGTAAACAGCATCAAATCATGCTGGGTTATAGGAGACCTGGAAGTTTAACCCAGAGAGGAGCTGAAACTTCCCAAGCTCACGTAGCCAGTAGGAGGCAGAGCCAGGCTAGAACTCAGGGCTCTCTGCCCACTTCTACTTCCTTTCTCTCAGTTCCCTAACAATTAAGCCAGAAGAAGGCTCTTCACAACGTTGTTCTCTTTGGCCATTCTCAGGATGATAATCAGATGCTGAGGTACAGGAATAGGAAAAAGACCTCTGAGATGCCCCCCCCCCTCACAACACACCACATTGCTAGAAGAAGCCAGCAGGCTGCAAGACCAAAGCCTCCCTATCTGCTAAGAAAGAATGTGGGGGTTATTAAACGGTGATTCCATGCAACAAAGTCTCCCAGTAGCTGTCCCAGCTGGCCAAATCATCAATGAGTCACAGCTGCTGCCTCAACTACAAGACAGAGTATTAGAACCACAGCCCCACCTTCCTTCTCAGGCTGCAACATCTCCCCTGATGGACACTAGCACCCTGCAGACCTTTCTCAAGGTTGTTTAAGGCCAGAAAGATTTAAGGCAAGACTGACAAGACTTGATAGGTGACTCACCTTTGAGTGCATGTGTAAGTTAGAATAAAAGAGAGCCCCAGCTCAAAGGGACCTAATAACTGAATATACAGAATATACAGAAGAGGCAGGCTAATTGGTAGCCCCATTCTCATAAGGAAAGTTTACTTTATAACAAGATTCTCACAGAGTTGGGAAGGACTGGCTGTCCTAGGCCTATGCTGAAATGCTCAATAGCACATGTCCAGTGCTCACACAGCCACAGACCTAGAAAGCAGTTTCCCTGTTCATGGTGGCCACCTGTGACTCTCCCAGCTGTGTTGCAGGGAAGGGCAGAGCCAGAATGTAAAATCTATGGATATAGGTTTGGGGGCAGAGAAGAGGACCAGGACCTATACCATTGATTTGAAGGTGAATTTATGAAAAGTTGGACTACAGTACCTAGGTATGCCATTCCCTGTGCTCAAGGCCTCTGTGACTGGCTTTTCATTGTGTCAACAAAAATCATTCAAAAGGCACTATTCATAGAAAAATGTGCTCAGAAAGATCAACTCCTTTTCCTGCTCCCCTCCCTCTAACTTTGCTTCTGAAAAGTTTACCAACCTTGGTCTTTAGGGACTCTGAGTTCAGGGGCAGATCAGCTGTTCACTAGCTCACCCTGAGTCTCCAAAACTA